AGATAGCATTATTTCTTTTAGGCAACGAACGAGCGCGAGCCGGTAGGCGAGTGCGAGAGAGGCGGCAGTGTCCCTAGAGGAGAGGGTATCCTCTAAGGGTATACGATAACTGGAATAGGCCGCAAGCAGGTTATGCGCAGTCGGCGTTGGATCCGAGATTCTGATTTAGTGAGATTGGATTCCGATTTAGCAAAGGCGAGTAGCTAGTCGCAGCTAGTCGTAGCGCCAAGATGGACAAAATCGGCTTTAGTTCCCTGAGTTGCTTGTTTGCAGATGGCGGTGTCTCATCCAGGTAGGCAGCATGTGAAACCCTAAGTCCAGATCACCAAGCTCTTGAATGTTGCGATACACACCTCAAGTCACGGCTATCTTTGGCTTCAGGTCATGTACGACACTTGGGCCGCGCATCTCCGCCTTGTATCCGCTGCACGCGCGGAGATGTCAAGATGGTCTCGATGAAGTCTTCTGTCAGATGTCGAAGGTCCCGGCTCGAGGCCACCGAGTCGAACCGAATCGCCATGGTACTTGACGGCTTGTCGCGCATGGAGAGAATCCTCGCAATGCTTGGCTTGAGATCTGCGTGAAACACTTCATCATAGCTATGAACTTTCGGCAGTACATTTGGGTTCCCCTGGCTGATCATTTGCATATTACTTCTTCGCCCGCATTGGAAATTCTGTGCTGCGAGCAGCCTCTTAGGGAGGCAGCGTAGCAGATTGTTTGTCTCTTTTTTTTCCTTGATATTGTCAGGAGCGTATTGGGGGTTTGTCGGTCGAAATATGAACTTCCAGAGTGGAGCAGCCTATCCTGCCGATGCCTGCATTAACAGCAGCACCCGATACATCATGCTAGAAGCATCCAGCCGGTACGAGACTTGGTAATGCTCGTTTGTAGCACCTGCGTCTTCGGAGGGTATGATGGCTGGTCGCAGTGTTGTACATGGCAGCAGCGCACTCGTACACAACAATTTACCGGGTGTAACCAGCATGTCAAACGGGTTCCGACCAGCTGGTATACTTGCTCGAGTCAACAAGTCTGCGTAGACGATGGCCAAGGGCAGCAAGAGGCATAGCCACGAACACCTTTTCGTAGCTCTTCGACCCCAGTCAAAACTGAACCTCGCTCGTCGCTTGCAGCTGCGGAGACACCAAACCATGGATCGCGTGGTGCTGCACGAATGAGTGGTAGATCGCGTGGTCAATTTCTGCTTCCGAGCTGCAGCGCGTAGGCGGTCATGAGAGCCGGCACTTCTCACTTTCCGGCTCTTACCACGGTGACTGGACAGCCAGTGGGGACGCGCTCAAGGTTGTCGATGCGCGAGAATGTGACCTATAAGTTGCCCTCATAAGGCCGTAAAAGTGCTTAGATGAGAGCGGTGAGCGTGAGTTGCTGAGACTGGCGATGCTGACCGTCTCAAGAATTTTCGATATCTTTCTGTTCTTATTGGACTCAAGCAAAGAAAGCGGATCCGTTTCATCCTTTGCATCATTAGGTGCTCTCGTGCGGGCGCGACTCATACAAGGATTTGCATGGTGAGTGTAAAAGCTGTAGCTCCGTATCTTTGTGTCTGAGTACGATGACACCACAAATGAATTGGGAGATGAGTTAATGAGGGCGATGCGTTGGTACAAGGCATCTGTTCCAGAAATCCTCTGAGTTCCGGGCATGACGAATTGGTCACGCAGGGCCTATTTGGGACGCAAGAGAATGCATGTCTCCGGATTCGTAAGTCGTTCACTGCCAGGAAAGGCTCAGTGCATTGCTGCCAGCGCGCTTTGCGCGCCAACGCAACAGAGCGATAAACATGCAGGTCGCGAACCGACGGTACTGGATCCACGAAGCATGTTGCATCATGCGACACCCTGGATCTATTCCTGCGGACAAGAGAGTTGGTTCTGAGGTCGCCGCGTGAAGGCCTCTAGGAATGGCCGCCAGCCGAGCCGCACAGAGCGAGGATTGCAGGAGAAGGCATTGAGGTTTGACCGATCCAGTATCCAGGGGATGTCAGTAAAGAGTCTTGGTCACCGCGTTGATGAACACGCTAATGGATGCGATATAGTCCAAGAGTGAAAGTCTGACTGTCGCGCAGAGAACGAGGCAGCTCATGCTGCGCTCGCTGAGGCCCATGAGCGGCATAATCGACAATGCATGTCATCCAATATTCGAGTTCGTTAGTGAGGTGCAGTATGCGAGTAACTCTACGGCCATCAGTATGATTTGCTCACCATGATGTTCGCATGACACACTTCAGTGTGGTGTGTTTTGATCGCATCTCTCGCTCTAATTAGCAGTCCCTTGATGAATTCAGTAGTGACCGTGTGATTGCGATACCATGCTGTGCATGCAGGGCCCACATGTGCAAGACTTAGTGCGGCGCTTTGCAGAGGCGGGGAGTGATAAGGTAGTCCGGGAAGTATTGAACTTCGGGGCAAGCAATCATGATGTGCCCAACTGCCTAATTCTCGGGTCGGCCGAAATTGGGCGGAAAGTCTAGAAATGTTCGACGCAGTTTCCTGTCAAAGGCCGTCCTTTGCCAGTTCTAGCTCTTGAATAGCATCGGAACAATTCCGATTTTCTCGATGTGCAGCTCGCGGCGCACACGTGTGCGCTTCCCAGGCAAACAATCAACGACAAATTGCGAAACGCGGCGCTCGCTCTCAAAAGGCCAGCGTGACCGCTGTGCTGGTACAAACACGAGAAGCGATGTGGATGCAGCAGCTGGAGCTGCGTCATCATTTTCTGCTCCAAATTGTGCGGAACCAGAGATGTGGTACGCTTTGCTGGGGCTTCGTCGCGACTGCATGTACGAGCAGCTCGGGCCGAAGTTTGCGCATCCTCAGCAGATTGGTGGTGACATTGCTCTTGAGAGTCGAGCGACCAGTGTCGCTTACGAGGCGACGTTCACTTAACGCTCAATGATAGCGCCGGTAGGAGTGGACCGAAACGTAGAGGTCGTCAGGACGGGCCGGCTAGTGTACGGGACTGCGAATTTTCAGTAGCTGCCGCGGTGCAGCCAGGGTCTCGTCGGTCGTGTGAATGCTGAGCTTGCACATGATGCGACGAATGGAGTGGCTGCGGAAGGTCGATATTGGCCATGCTCCAGTCGAAGGGGGACGCGCGCAGCTGTCGATATTGGGGTGAGCGCATCTCGCAGCTCGAGAGCGAGGAACAGCTGCAAATGCTGTGATGGGGCCAGGCAAGGTGCTGTGGGCAGGCAGTAGGCGGGGAGTTGTGGTGGATGCCGTGCAGCGCTGGCGTCGTCGCTCGTCACATCGGCCTGGTCAGAGCGGGCGCATCGAGGAGGAGTGGGCGTCGCCGGTGGACGCAAACCTGGTTTCGTCGACTCCGCAGTGCATGAACGGGCGAGGTGAACGTCGGCTTGCAGGATGAGCGTCGTGTCGTGTCGTGTCGTGTCGTGTCGTGTCGTGTTCGAGGAGTCGCGACCGCGGCGGCTGCCTGGCTCGCGAAGCGCGAAGCCTCCCGCTGTCGAAAGCGCCACAGCCGCCTCCTCTTCCACCATCCACCACGTGCAGCAGCACTTTCCTGGCTCTGCTCTGCACCTCTTCACCCTCTTCCACGACATGACGACCGCATTTTGGCTGGGCCGTTGATTGGCACTCGCTCACAGGGGACGACAGCAGCGCTAGTGCTCTTCGCGCCGGGTTTGCACGTCCGCCGGCCTTCCACTCGGCCACTGCAGCGGCGCCGCAAACGGGCATGCAATCCTCCCACGCAGCAGATGGGAGTACCGCGATGGTGCGCGTCGACTTGTGCGCGACGCGCGCCTCGCGACATGCTCATCAGCGACGACGGAGCGTGAAGGCACGGTGAGCCCTGTCCGGTGTAGGGCCAGCCATCGCGGCTTTGACGCAACACAATGGCATGGATCATGGTTTTGTCGGTTAGCGCAGCCGAGCACAGCAAGTGTCGTCCATCTCGTCTCAAGAGGTCGCGAAGTGCAGCAGCGGGCGGAGGCGGAAAGCGGTCCTAGTTTCCACCCACACAGGCTGCGCCCATACCCCATCCCATTCACCCACCGTCTGCCTCCTCCACCACCGCCAACGGCAGTGCTGCTGGGGACTGCGCAACCCGGGCTGCATGGTTCTGCTGCATGTTTTACTTCTACATCACAGCTGTGACCGGGATCGCATTGGCTGGAGGGGACCTGCGGAGTCGGTATCAGATCCATACGCCTCTCACCAGCAGCAGAAGGGAGTGCGCCGTCTGTGAGCAGCAGCTCCGCATTCTGTGAGCTCCGGAGTGTGCCTTTCGCACACCCGTCTCACAGCGACACCACATCTGCGGCCCTCTGACACGGACGCGTTCCAGGGCTATATGTGGCTGCAAATGCGGCGCGCGGGGGCATGAGAAGTCGGAAAGGGTGGGTCGCACAGAGTCGTCAATCTCGACTGTTGCAATGCGTGCTGTGTGCTGCGCGTGAGCATCGCGGACAGCCACCCTGATCAGGAGCTGCCTCCTTGCTGGACGACGGCCATCGCGATGGACGGGCATCTGGCATCTGCTGCTCCAGTACCAGTCTACAGCATACAGCATACGGCCTACTGATAACGCGCGACAGGCCACCAGCACGCAAACCGACGGACGAGCAGGCTTGGCGGCGCTGCCCCAGTCGACCAGGCGATGCGTGCGCTCGATTCGCTGCCTCAGGATTGTGCTGTGCGGCTTCTGCGCTTGTGCAGAGCCCTGGTCGTGCGCGTTGAGTGGTTCATGCCGCTACTGTGCCTCTCGCGACTGCGTGACACGACGGTGGCTTGAGATTCGGTAGCGCCCTCGGACACACAGCTCGCAGCTACGAGTTGGCAGTCCGATAACCTGGTATTGCGGTAAGCGCTGCGAGCCACCCCGGCCCCTCTAGGCTCCTTTGAGTGGTCTCTTCTCGGGATGTGTTCTTCCATCGCCGGCTAGCGACATGATGGTGTCGGCGTCCCACCTCGCACGAATCGCCCATGTCGGCCTGCCACTACGCACCGCTTGGCCCTGTTGATGCAATGCTGGCGCACGGAGAATCTCACAAGCGATACCACCAGGTCCTACTTGCATTCTGCCAAAAGACCGGTCCTGCCAACCCTGGCCACTTCGCTACCAAGCGCTCGTCTACGTTGTCGCTGCTTTCGACGCCTTCGTCCTGGTGCATCACCACCGAAACCAGGGTATCTCGATCTGGGAGCCAGTGCCTTAGCGCCTCGCCGTGTGTGTAGCTGTGGAGGACATTAAGTAAAAGGGACTATCCCTGCGCTAACACCATACCCACCGCTCTTCTTGGTGACATTGTGCACGACGCCGCTTCAGCGACGTGCCACCAGTTCCCCGTCGTCCTTTTTTCGAACTCGGCAAACACGAACAAGCTCGCATTATCGTCTCAGCTGCCAAATCCGCACGCATGATCTTCGGGTGCCTCCTCCATCGTGCCCGACTTTCTTCGACAGACGACCACTGGTCTCACTACACGCCCATATCAAGCCGTCATCTCGTCTCAAGTACAATAAGCCAAGAACAATCCGGTCTGCGTCCTGCACGCATTAGTCGCACGTTGCATACGAGCCTACATTTGGCCGCCCTGGCCGCAGATCCTCACGCCACTTCGAACACGCAGCTTTGCACTCGTCGAGCAACACCATAGATATCTCTGGTGTGCTGCTTCTTGCCGATCGTTGTCAACTAGCTACCACAGTCAAGCACTGGAGCGCGAGCTGGAGTCTTGTTCCCAATGTCTCGTCCAGTGCCGATACAGCCTCCGTACGATGACCAAACCAGAATGGCGCAGACACAACGTATACCGACATTTCCGCCATCAAACTATCTAGGCCGACCGGACCAACGAGCCTCTGGTCCCCAGTTGCCCCCAATACATGCTATGAGGGCTGCGCCTGAAGATGGTGGTCGACCAGTCCAGCTGCCGCCCATGCAGATCCCTCTCCAGGGCCCAGTCTCCCCGCCCAGAGCTCCGTCGAGATCAATACCTGTCGCGCAGCTCCTAACGAGCCCGCCTTCACCGCCGCGTGCACGCCAGCCTCCTCAGGCGCCATACCAGAGGCATTTCCACCCCGCGCCCGTCACTTACGGTAGTTCGGTTGGCGATTATCGAGCTGCACCGCCACCGCAATTACCTCCATATGCTACTCAACATCGTCTGGACCAGATTCCGGAGCCATTGAGACAACAGCAATATCAACAGCAGCACCCGATAGAACAGTACCAACGCGCAGCACAGCACCCACCTCCTCCACCGGTCCAATTCGAACGTGCTGCATCTCACCAGTATAGCCCCACAAGAAGTGTCTTCTCGTCTCCCAAGAGTTATACGCATTCTCAGCCATCTCCTCGATCGTCATTCCCACCTTCGAGCCAAGCAGGGTCTACACCCAAGCCGAAACCTCAACCGCCTCCACTCAACTACAATCTGGCTATCAGACAGCAGCCTGCAGCCGCTCGCGCTTGCGGTTTCGGCGAGCGAGATCGCCGAGTCATTGATCCACCGCCTATCCTAGAGTTGAAGATCACTGACCAAAATGGCTTACCTGAGCTCGACCCCAGTGGCATGCTCGCGCTGCACTGCACCTTACTGAACGCTGATGGCGCCGAGGATGAAACCGAGCTCACACCGTCTATGCCGGATATGCCATCTACTCGACGACTCATGGGCACGCTCGTCGCTTCACCCTACCAAGCCAAAGACGAGAATGGGCTTGCAGGCACCTTCTTCGTCTTTCCGGATCTCAGCTGCCGCTCCCCGGGCCAATACCGTCTCAAATTCAAGCTCATTCGCGTGGATGGGACCAACATGACGTGCGTCACCACCCACAGCAGTATTGTTTCAGACTCTTTCAGCGTGTACACCGCCAAAGACTTCCCCGGTATGCGAGCAAGTAGCTCTCTGCTCAAAGCGCTGCGACGGCAGGGCTTGAACGTTGGAGTGAAGAAGGGCTCAGAGGCGAGGAAAGGCAAGACGAAGGCGAAAAAGTCGGCGCAGGAGCACTCGGGCGGTTCGTCGGACGGAGGAAGTGACGATTCGGACGTGGAGATGGAGAGTGGTTCAGCGAGTGGGAGCCCGAGAGTCAAATCTGGTGGCAAGAAGGGAAAGAGGAGAAGAAGGGATTAAGAAACGTGATTGACGAGGAGGAATCGAGAAAGGAATTTGGGTCGACAGGAAGAGGATCTTCTTGTGCGCGCCCTGATTTTCCGTCTCATCAGGCGAGCGCCTTCATGCACTCATCTACCAGGTCCTGACATGCGCAAAGCGGGGTACGAGCAGGTGTGGCGGTGCTGCTAACGCCGCAAAACGCCGTTCTCCAACCATATTGTTACACCAACACTTCAGCTGTACGCCTCGTGGGCGGACTTTCCGACGATACGCAAAGACTGTACGATTCAACCCCAGGAACGATGTCTCTTTTCGGCTTCTCGGGCCTCTCTTTTGTTTGCTGGATCTGGACGATGAGCGAGCGAGCTGAGTCGAGTCTACACTTTGGGCTTCCCGGGGCGGGTAACGATTTGCAACGAACAAGAACACCGTAATGGTCCGCATGTATGGTGGCTATGTGTGCGTGTCTGAGGAGCATTGCTTGGGCTCTTTTGCTTTTCGTTCTCTGACGAAAATATTCTGAAACGTTCGGGCTAGGTCTTTTATGTTACCCATGAACAGTATTGTAGCGTATTGTAGCACCCAGCAGTATCGATATCTCTCCTTCTTCTGCCCAAGCAGCTGCACTCATCTCCAAAAGCCACATCCAGGTCGAAGCAGAAAGGTACTTCCCTTTGCGGTGCGCTCTCGAGCTTGCAGTTCCGTGATACTGGCGATTATGATCAGGTGTGCAGAGACTGTGGTGTCTTCAACGGCGACACTCGACGGCCTTATCTCCGTGACCTGTCTCCAGATGACTCTCGTCGCGCACATCGATCTACTTCTGCAGAGTACAACCTCGTATGTACACCTGCAACAGGGGTCCACAGGATACAAAGCGAGAGCACGAAATTCGGCCGGATAAAAAAGTCATTCATTCATCGATCGGCTCAAGTGGTCGCTGAGCCCTACCCTTACTTTGGAGCCGGACCTAAGACAGTTCGCCAGGATAAACACATCTTCGATTCGCGATAGCGTACGGTGCAGTACTATCAATGCCGTGACGATCGTCGTGGGATGAATCCGGATTCGTTGACGTACGATAAGTTGGAAATGTTCGCCGGCAATTTCTTGGTGGAATGCTTTGATTGAAATGATTAGAAAAGAGAGAGAGAGAGAGCCGGCGAAATCTGTCCGGCTCTCTGTAGTTCGGTTGGCGATTGGGCCCAGCCTGACTGCCGAGAAGGTACAAGAAGCTAGATTAAGATGATGGGGTGAAGATGAGTACGTACTGTACTCTTTCCGTGTTGAAAGCTTGTTCGGCCGTGGAAGCCCTAATGTCAGCAATTGATTGCGGCAAGTGAAATCGGAGATCATGTTCAGGCCAAGAACTATCGATGACTGAACAAAATAGTGTTTTGACTCCTCTTTTCTTGCGTACGACCGGTGAGAGGTGCGTATTTGACGGGACGAAGAGCGGCTTTCAACAGATTCGAAAGCTAGATCCTGGTATGGCATGGTTTGTCGCGCCAAGATGACGCGGCAGAGACTAGGGTCGATTGGACGATGTTCGTTTCGTCGCTGATGGTTTGCGTGATGGAGCGCTCGTCATGGCGTGGTGGTGGCCTGCCAGTGTCAAATGTTATCCCGCGCAAGAGTATGTATCGATGTAGACTTTCTCTGTAGAGAACGTTCGTATGCAATAACGCGCTTCGGCAGATGCTGTCAAAGCCTGCTGTTCTGCAACGACCTATAAAGGTTAGGGACCGGAGCAACAGTGGACCGGTCGTTCGCACGGGATGTATTGTGAAGTGTACCGCTCACTCGCAACTGTGCTGCAAAGATCAGCACGTCACCCTCGATGCACCAGGTCAATCCTGCCTTGCGGGATGGCTCAGGCTCTCGTGCTACGACTATTAACGGTACGGATGGTGAGATCCGGTTTTGCAACAACCGGCATAGAGAATCCGAGTCGCATCAAGAATGCGCCTATTCGCGGAGAGTCGGTCCGGCGGGTGGGATGTCTCTGACCGGGGACGATAGAGTTCCCCAGGACGCCCGCCTTTGTGACGGCATCGCCTGCATTCACTACTTGTGACTTCTGTCGCGCCGTGTCGGTCCACATTGACGCCCAGCAAAATGAGGATGTGTGTTATTGTGACGCCCTTCGACACCTTCGGGCAGGATCATGGTCGTCCCTCAAGCACCAGAGCCAGTTCGCGTCAGGCCAGCCTAGTCTGAGTGAGGACATTTCTTGGCGTTGGTTCAAACACTTAAAGTCAGACTGTGGCATTGCTGCGGGCTCGTGGTTGTTGCCAAGGTGGCCATGGAAACACTCCCCGGTTGTGTGTTGGAGCACCACTAGGCGAAGTCTCAGCAAGCCCGGCTGACCAGATTGGTGGTCCTGTGGCAACGCTAGATCGAGCAAGGAGGGAGTCGGTGAGAGGAAAATCGGTCAAGGCTGTGAACTCTAAGTTTGAATACCTGGTATCTTTGGCGTGCCAGCCATGTGCGCTGCATCCTGCAGCCAGGTCCCTTACGCCGTAATCTAGCTTCTTTTTCATCGTCATCCACGCCAAACCCTGAACGCCAAAGCTTCGTTAAGTCAAGAGCGTCGCTCCAAAATCAAGTAGGCGGTCGGTACAATTGAGGTACGCGCATGGCCCACGGATCGCGTGGAGTGCCAGACGGTCCTCATCGAGTGTTACCGTTGACATGACCATTGCTGATGTTGGACTCCTCAAGCATGCCCAAGATTGGTGAGATTCGTCCGGAAGAGCTGCCCTTGCGTGTGATTTGGTCGAGCATTCGGGCACTCGCGGCGATGAACCCTAAGTAGGGCTTAGATGGGCTCAATACACGACTGAGATATTCAGGATGGAACTGCACGCCCACGAAGTAAGGATGATCCTTCAGCTCGATGACTTCCATTCGCACACCGGTCTCATCCTTTCCGATGAAAGTCAACCCGTGCTGTTCGAGGCGCTCGATGTACTCTGGGTTGACTTCGTAGCGATGTCGGTGTCGTTCCATGACACTGTCGTTCTTCAGCCCGTAGAGGGCGCGGAGCTTGCTCCACTCTGTGTTTGGCTGCCAATAAGTTGGTTTGATCCCCAGTCGCATGGTAGCGCCCATCTGGCCTGGATTGTGTTCAGGCATGTCGATAATGACTCGGTCGGAGTCCGTGCCATCGAACTCGTACGAGGTAGCCTGCGGCAGTGTCACACCGCATACTGACCGCGCAAACTCAATGACCGCAATTTGCATACCCAGACACACGCCAAAGTAAGGAACCTTGTTCTCTCGCGCCCAGTTCGCGGCAGCGATCATGCCTTCGGTGCCTCTGCTACCAAAGCCGCCAGGGATGAGGATGCCAGAAGCGGTGCACACATCGTGCCAGGCCTTGTGGAAAGCGGCGGGGTCGCTGCGATTTGTCTGCTTTTCCAGATGCTCAGCATCAACATTCTTGACCCGCAGCTTCTTGCGGCAGTACATAGCAGCATGCTCGAGAGACTTGATGACAGAACAGTAGGCATCTGGCTGCTCAAGATATTTGCCGACCAGGACAATCTCGACCTCTTCGTGCACGTGTTCCAGACCCAAGGTGAGGGCACGCCAGGTGTTCCAGATCTGCTCGCCCTTTTCGAGCGATGCTGGTGACAAGGTGAGTGCATCTAAGCGCAGGGTGGAGGTCATCATCTGGACGAGATTCTGCTCGTGAAGCAGGATCGGCACCTGATATGTCGAAGGCATGTCTCGGACAGCCAAAACGTTCTGGTTCTCCACCTGGCAGAAACGAGCAATCTTGTCGATGGCGTTGGGATCCAATGGTTTCTCGCAGCGACACGCGATGAGGTCTGGGATCAGACCAGCTGATCGCACAGCTTTGATGGCCATCTGTGTTGGCTTCGTCTTCTGCTCGCCGTGGATGACGGGGACATAGGAGACGTGAATTTGCATGAAGTTGTCGCGGCCTGCCTTTCGACGCAGCTCGCAAAGTGCTTCCACGAATGCCATGCTCTCGATGTCTCCAACAGTGCCTCCCAGCTCGATGATGCACACGTCTGGCTCCTCACCACTGCCATCTACGGGCACTTTGGCGACTCGGGCGATCCATTGCTCGATTTCTCCGGTGACGTGTGGCACAACCTGCACGGTCTTTCCCAAATACTCGCCGTTCCGCTCTTTGTCAATCACGTTCTTGTAGATCTTTCCCAGCGTAATATTGTTCTGGCGCGTGAGGGTGATGTTCAGGTATCGCTCGTAGTTGCCCAGATCAAGGTCGACCTCGCCGCCGTCGTCCAGGACGTAGACTTCGCCGTGCTCGCGTGGGTTCATCAGCCCCGCATCGACGTTGATGTATGGGTCGATTTTGATGCTGGAGACCTTCAGACCCATAGTCTGAAGCAGCAGAGCCGCGGAAGAGGCTTCATCGCGTAAGTCTCGTTGCAGCACAGCGCGACAAGGGGAGCAGTATCATACCAATAATGCCCTTTCCCACGCCGCTGATGACGCCTGCCGAAGTCAACATGAAATCCTGCCATGTCCTGCTCGCCGCGGGAAATGCTCAGCTCTTACCTCCTGACACGAGAACGTACTTCATTCCGCCCATGTTGAATGCTATTACACCTTGTGGTGGCCTGTCTCCGGTTCAGGGAGCGGAAAGAAAGAAAAGCCCTTCCACCAAGCAGGACTCGAAGATTTATTACCCGAAAGAAACGCGCCAAGACTTTCACGCGCCGCGGGACTAACTAGCGCGTCCCTCCGTTCGTGTGCCTGGGTCCGACGTCACGTCGTCGTTCACCTCTCGTATGAACATTCTGCGTGTGGAATCACATTTGCAGGCCCTCGTACGCTCACCTGTATCAATTTCACCCTCAGGAAGTGTAGTGTACTCCGAGGACGCGGTCAAGCTCAATGCAGCTGCCCGATGAGCCGCTGACCTGCGGCTATTGCATCACGATCACGATCCATCCTGGCACGACGCGAATCAGGTATAACTATTGTGCTTCATCTACAATGCTTCTGCGTGTCCCTTTCTGCACTTTTCATCACATTTCCTCTATCCAGTATGAAAGGACTATCTCACCTTCTGCCATTAGCAGCTTTTGTCGTCTCGCAGGAGCAGCAGATTCCTCTCTACCCCGCTGAGCAGAAAGCACAGCCACTGACACTGGATGCTATACCACTGCTGGGCTTCGGTACTTGGAATCTCAAGCAGCCAAACACCAGCGAAGCAGTATCTTGGGCGATCCAAGTCGGCTATCGCCACATCGACTGCGCAGCCGCGTATGGAAACGAGGAAGAAGTTGGTAAAGGCCTGGCCGATGGCTTGAAGAAGACCGGTCTAAAGCGTGAAGACCTCTGGATCACCTCCAAGCTATGGAACGACCATCATGCCCCAGAAGCCGTGCAAGAAGGCCTCGATCTTTCCCTTCAAAAACTAGGCCTCGATTATCTCGATCTCTACCACATGCACTGGCCCGTAGCATCCGGAGCTGGCGGCAAAAACCAAATCTATTATCTCAAAACCTGGGAGTCCATGGTCAAGCAGTTCGAAGCCGGCAAAACACGCCACATAGGAGTCAGCAATTTCAGTCCCAAGCAACTGACAGACTTGTTGAACAACACTTCCACGCCACCACACGTGCATCAATTCGAGACTCATCCTTATCTCCAACAAAAAGAGTGGGTCGAATGGCATGCGAACCACAACATCCACGTTACGGCCTACTCGCCTCTCGCAGGAACAAATCCAACATACAAAGAAGGCGATAAGCCAGAACCGCTTTTGAGAAGCCCTGTTCTGCACAAGATCGCGAAGAAGCGCGGTTGCACGCCTGCGCAAGTTGCTTTGCAATGGGGAATGTCGCGAGGAACTTCGGTGATCCCAAAAAGTATACACAAGGAATACATCGAAGGTAACTTCCATGCATCAGGATGTGTGCTGAAGAAGAAGGATTTCAAGAAGTTGAGCAAATTGGGCGAGTACTTTCATCGCTACAACAATCCATCGGAGAGCTGGCAGGTTCCACTCTACGAAGGACTCGAAGACTCAGATGGAAAACACAAGCCCGCGACATGGTTCAAGCACCACTGAAGATGGCACGACGCTATGATTCTCATGAAAAGGGTATCTCGAATTATGACTATTTACACAATCTGTACACCTGAAAAGTCCTTCTATCGTAATATTACATCTCTTTAATGCTGCTCGCGATGCGCTAATCTGATCTGGATGGCCCACATGTCTGGTTCCTCATGGCCTCAATTCGCTGAAAATATATGGGAAGATGACAACACAAGCTTTCCAGAACACGCCAATGCTCGCAACAGCTCGAAGCGGAATAAGCAGAGGATTGCCGCTCGTGATGTAGATCCAGATGGCGTATAATGCCACGGCGAAAAAGTGGTAGAACAGGACGAAGGGCTGTCGGATGATGCCAGCCAGAAGTCCCACAGGTCCATCAATGCAATTTCCTCCGAGCTTGAAGTAGTGGAAGCAACCCATCTGGAGGGCCTTGAGTTGTGCATCATCTGCGCCGAAAAGAGCGTAAAGTGCTTGCGCGAGGATGTTAATCACGCTTGTCAAGCTCTTTCGTCTCCAGTGGAAGGTTCGCATCTGTTGGAGGATGAGTTTGCTGTCACTCAGATCTGGGACGACTTCCGGTGCAAGCAGTTCCGAGAGAAGTACGGCGTCGTTGAAGGCGACCGTCATGCCACCACCGGTGAGGGGATGTCGCATATTCATTGCATCGCCGAGAATGAGAAGGCCTGGAGTCTTGTTTGTTGTTGGCGGTAGCCATGAGTTTGGCATTGATCGTAACCTGTCCTTCTCAATTGCTGCTGCGAATGAAGGCTGCACCCGCTTGGGCAATGACGGGAGCACAACATTCTTCAGATGCCCTTTGACCCCGCCGTTCTGGACGCTTGCCGAGGGCAAGTCGTTCGGGATATCAATCAAAGCTCGTGTTTCATGTGTGCCGATCTGGTACAATAGAACTGGTTTGCCATCTCCCAGAAGAACATGCCCGTGATTCGGCATGGGCAAATCCGCATCGATGAGCTCGAGAGCCCAGAATTTTGATTTGGCCACGGGCGCATCGGATCTGAACTCTTTCCTGAATTTGCTCGCATACCCATCAGCAACGATGGTCAGACTTCCAAAGTATGAATCTGCTTCGCCGTTTCGCGTGGCCTGCACTCCCAGGATGTCCCCCGTGTATTCGCCTCGAATAAGGTCTGTAGCCGTTGCTTCGACGACGGTCACGTTGGGGTTCGACTTCGCTTTCGCTCGCAGGTTTTGGATGAAGCGTCCGTGGTGAAAGGATCGTCCTTCTGGTCGCTTCCTCTTCGTCCCTCGGTATTCGTCTGTGAGGCTCGTCTTCTCGTCCACTTCCGGTGTGTCGCTCGCGTTCATAGGATACGATATCCGCACTTCGTCGCCATAGTATATCACATCGTAGCCGAACACCTTGATCGCATCAATGCCTTCAAGACAGTCTCTCAGTCCCAACGTCTGTAAAGCCTGCACGCCCCCTGGCTGCAGCAATTCTCCCACAATGCGATCGGGCTCCTTCAGCGATCTTTCCAGCAGTATGACACTTCTTCCCTGGTTCCCAAGCGCCCATGCGACTGCGCATCCAAAAATGCCAGCGCCCACAATTACCACGTCGGCTTCGTGGTGCATCGTTCTGTTTTCCTCGGCTCTGTGTGCGAGAGCAGGTCGTGCTGGTATGAGGGAGGAGGGTAGATTCATGTTGGGCGACTCTTGTATATGTCTATGCGCCTGAGTCGCAACCAATAGTGAACGTGTGTTTGGGTTGTGGTGGGCGATTTAGAAGAGAAATAAACGTCTTACGACTTTTGGGTTGTGCCAGGGACCCATGAGGCAATGGCGAGATGCGAGATGCTCCGGACCCTGTTTTCCGATCTCCGGCTGCAGTCTTCGAGGAGATCCACGTCAGGCACGATCGAATCGGGACTTCCCGTTTGCTAGCTTTGTTCACGTGTGCTGCCTCACTTGTCGACCTCATCGCCACAGTGATGCTGAGCCACCATCTCGACTCATGCGACTGTGCTGCTCGTCGATCCATGCTGTCAGGAGTGTACCGTGATTGTCTACGGCATCTGGTCTGAGGCCACGACATCGACATCGGGCCAGCAAGTTCCCTAGTCAACGATGTGCAATGCGCAAACATCCACCAGTATTCCAAGGCGAGATGCTGTGCAGGTCCTCTGATAGCATAGGCGGCATGGAGAAGCTGCCGAAGCTTAAGCTACACTGAGTCGCTGCACGGCATCGCCCAACGTGCTGAGCTTGGCAGTTTGGCTCACCCTACCTGCCATCGCCGCACCAGTTTACGACTTAGCACAAGGGCCATGGGAGCAGATGACGCGGCAGCATAATTTAACCATTGGATACGTGGGAGCCCGTACAAGTCTCGTCGGATGGGGCCAATGGTATGCGGGTCAATTTGACGGGGCATTGCCAACCGATCTTTGGAGGCAGTCTCTATCGCGCGTCCCCAAGAGTTTGCGTGTGAGTCCGCTGATCGGAGACTTTGCGGACCATATATGGTATAGCACGAGCTACTGGGAGCGCATCGACAGACTCCCGATCAACTTGGCAGTAGCGGCGAGAAGACAACCCCATAGCAAGTGCAAGCACCCTTACATTCACCATTACATTTCGCGCTCGTCATTGTGAAGGACATGGGCATGCTTGAGAACCCTTGGACAGGTTGGCCCTCTGACAAAGAGATCCTTGATACGTGGAACTGGACCGCGGCTGGTACCATGAGAATTGGTACATGCGGTATGTAAGCATCAGCAGCGGTTTCCATGCGCTCGCGAAGCAGAAAAGGTCTCTCATATCGAATTCACTTTCATGCAGAGACTTCCTGGCACTCGAGATAACCTGACGTACAACGTCTTCACTTGTTGGTCTGCAGGTACGAAGAATAGTGTGCTGATTATTGCGACTTGGGAGAGGTTATTCGTCAGGTCACGTTGGAACTACACCTCCCTAGAATGGACATGAGCGGCGGGACGATGAACACAGCTTCAATGAGCAAGATCTTCACTTTCACCAAGAGCCAGAATCTCCTCAACCCGACCGAACTCCAAAGAAAGTGCTCCGCACAAGATCAAAAGGCACAAACGACCGTGCACGGACCACCGCCCACACTTCACTTCACTTCTCATGCAGCCTTCCCCGCCGCATCCAACGTTCCGATGCACTTCATTCCGCCACAAATAGCCGCCGCAATCGCAATCCCCCCGCCACCCTCCACACAACAGCAGTCTTAATAAAAGCTCCAAAAGTACTGCGCCTCGACCAAGCTACTTTGGGGAGTACAAAACACCAATAGGGGATTCGCACATTGCATGAACCAATTTGAAAAGTACTAAGACACAATCTCAATTCGTACTACGCATATATCGGTATAAGATATCGATCGGTCATGATTTTCGAGCAAAATTGCGCACTAGAGTAGCTTGGTCCTTTTTTTGTTTTGTTTTTGCCTTTCTTCACTTTACTTTGTTTTCTTTTTGCCATTGTTTTGGAGGTGATGAGTGAGGGATTGCGGAGTTCGAATCTTGTTTGCGTTTGTAAGTTAAGGAGTTTGTGATTTTTGCTATTGTTTGGTCAGTTTTTTTGGGCGTGTTTGCGACCTCATCTGCTGCCTTTTGCGCCTTTCTCTGGGCGAGCTGTGTTTTGGCCGCCAACAAGGCGTGCGACGATAGCGATGTAATGACGACCAATCGACCAGGAGAGTGGCGCAATGACATCTTGTGAGAACCTTTCTTCAAGACACCTCGAGATATTTCGAAGCACAAGAACGCGGAAGTGACGGTAACAACACGATCTTGGGATCGGAACTGGAAATGCCGTGGAGGTGCTATTTCGCAGCTGTTGAGCATCACGGAGACACGTATCTAGAGCTGGCCTTTGCGCGACATCTATTTACAGCACACCAAATGTGGCTGCAAGCAATACCACGCCCGGGATGTTCGCCCATCTTGGACTCACATGGCCCACTCCGCCAGTCTGCTGCGCAGGCAAAGATCCACCACCTGATGTTCCATTCGCAGTGCCATTCTCTCCGTCCAACGCGATCTTGAACACCCAACTATACATATCGGCATTTCTCACCTCCTCGCTAATACTCAACTCCAAACTTCCGTTGGCCAACAGCCGCGAAGGCACGACGCTTCCACTCATGTTCCCGCCTACAACCCGAATCTCATCCCCTTCCACATATGGCACCGGACTGTCCAACACAAGCGTCGCATTCGGCGGATACAACGTCAAAATATAAAATGCCTCCGGAGTCTGCGTGAATCGAATCGTTTCACCTTCCTGCGGTGTAATGAACCAATATGTCGTATTGAAAATCGCCTCGCCATGAGACTTGATCCATCTCCCGGCTGCGCGAAGATTATCCTGCTCGACTTGAAGAATCGTGCCGTTGGCCATGGGACCAATATCGAGGAGGAAATTACCATTCTTGCTGACGATGTCGATGAGAGAGGTCACGATCACATCGGGTTTCATGTAGGCTTCGATGGGTGTGGCGCGGTTGTAGCCGTAGCTGTAAGGATCCATGCCTAGGTTGCTTTCCCATTTGCGCATTTGAACGGCATCATATTTGGCGTACTCGGGCGTGTCGAAGTCGCCTGGGAGACCGCAGCGGGCGTTGATGGAGACTTCGCGGCCTTTGGCGGCGTTGTCATTGAAGTATTTAGCAGCCCATTCTGCTGTCATATTTGGACCTCCAATGTCGCACCACATTATCTCGGTGCCCATATCGGCGAGAATCTGCATTTCTGGCACCATGAGGTCTGTGATGAAGTCGCTGATCGGGACGTAGCCAGTGTACGGCAATGTCTCATTCGTATAAGGATTTGTTGCATTACCGCCTGGCCACGAGCCAAAGCCATACTCCTTGTAATCCGGATGGAACCACTCTGGGGTGGAGAAGTATGTAGCTTTGTGAAGATGGGGCTGATACTGTTCTGCAGCATCAAAGAGCATCTGAAGAAGATTCTTGTGGGGAGGCAGAGCAACGCTCGTGCGATTGGTGATGCTAGACGGAATATCGAAAATCGCGTACCCTTCGTGATGCTTGCTGACTTGCACGAAATATTGCGCTCCAGCATCAGCGAACAGATCGACCCACTCCTTAGGGTCATAGGCATCGGCTGTGAATTGGGGGATGAAGTCATCGTAGTTGTGATCGGGACCATATGTGGCAAGATTATACTCCCAAAACTCGCCCTTAGTCTGGTTCTTGCCTTGATTCATGTACCACCAATACCATTCCGCGTATTGCTCTGCACACTGTTAGCGAACATACTTGCACCAATATGTCTCTGAGTCACGAACCTTTGTCACCAACGTTGCCCCATCCTGGCACGGAGTATACACCCCAGTGCAAGAAAATGCCATACTTTCCGTTGTTAAACCACGAAGGACTCTCGTGCGAGTAGATGCTTTCGTAGGTCGCCTCATATGGGCCGATGCCGAATGTCGCGTTGAAGGTTGAGCTCGCACTCACTCCTGTCCCAGTAACACGCACGGTGGCTTGGCCGGGTGTACCAGGTGCAGTGCCATCCTGATTAACAACACCAATGTTGACAGTTGCTTGATCACCTGGCCGAAGGCGATTGATCACGCCAGGTACAGCGGTCTCTATTCTAGATCCTTCTATTATTACCTGCACCCCATTCTCGGCCATGATCCATTCGTCGCCAATGTTGTTGACCTTTACGGAAAAGATCTGAGTCTTGTTCGTGCCTTCCATCCACATGCTGGTAGATCGTGCATGCTGTATGTCCACGTTGATTCCCGTGCCCTCAGCTGGGACAAGAGACATAGCGAATATGTGTAGTCGTGTCTCTTCAGCTGCACCTCCTGGAGAGCTACTCGATCCGGCAGTAACATTTGGGAATTTGATACTGGCGATTTCCTTTGTACTATCGACCCAGCTTATGGTTTGAAATATCATGGAACGATTGTAATCAATGCTCTCATTCGTCAGATAGTAAGGAAAGATGATATCACCTCCATAAGGATATGGCCACGCCCAGAACGGATCAACGAGTATCGGTGCCACTGTTGTGGAGTTGTCGGCATACGTGGTAGTAATGTTGCCTGTTGCAATTGCTGTTTCGGCCGCTGCAAGCATGTGAATGCTGAAGTACTTGCCCGCAGGAGGAGTGATGACTTGGCCTTGCGCTAGTACATTATCGTTACCAGTCTCGCGATATTGTGGGAAGTCGTAGTTCGTTCCAGCATAGGTGAAATTGGCCTGAGGTATGTATTCGGCAGGGTAGCCGCTGTGCACTCCATCGAAGTCTGCGTCACCAGGCGAAGCAGCGAAAGCCCTGTTGTTCACCAAATCTGACAAGTCAATGGTTATGGATCGTGCATGTGCTCCTGCTTCGTTATCATCGGCGCTCTTGGGGTTCACTACCAGACCACCTTGCCCGAGTACTAGCGTTATCAGGCCAAGTTGCCCAAGCACCAAACGGGAGCAGCGCATGTTGAAGCAAATGGCGTGAAAGCTTGAGCAGAAAGAGCTCGATCAAGAGATGGGGAGAAGCTTCGCATACTTGTACCTGCATAACACGATTGGATACTGATCAAGTGAAAAGTCTGGATAAATGGACTGATCGCACATGGGCAGATAATACGAGAAGTCGACGATAGCATGCTGGTCTTCCCCGCGCTCGTAGCGTTGTAGTGCATGTTAGTGTCGTATGATCAGCCGTTATGTGCCATTTGCAGGCATGATAACAGCTGCTGGTTGCTTGCATTGGGCCTCCAGTTGCCGGACGTCATGTTCTGCACAAAGGCGGGACGTCTCAGATGTGTTCGGCTGTGCGGGGTATTCAATCGGGTTGTGCCTGAACACTGCTGTTTTTCCGTGCTCTGGCAGTCTGCGGTCTTTGATTGCAGCAGTGCCCACGTAGGTCGGATGTGAAGACGACGCTGACCCGGAACATGCCATGAATGTGCATGGCCATTGACTGCTCCAGATGATGAACGGGAACGGTGGAGAGGAGAAGTCGGTGGACGAACGACTGGAGAAAGAACATGGAAGGGAGTGGTTGAGGCTGAAGAGAGGCTTGGCATACAGCTGCGCCACGCGAGCCAGGATCAGCGCAAGCGGCGGCAGCGTCTAGAGCTCATCGTGAGACGAAAGCGCCAGATTATTGTTTTGTTGTATCGAGCCTCCCTTTCTTCCCTTTGTCGCACAACTGCCACGCCCTGCATCGCGACCGTTGAGCGTATCCTCCAACCACCTCCCGCCTCGGTCCTCCTCGACCACCGCCCGCTGTGCGCCATGAGTGGCAGATTCGTGCGTGCCTCCAAATACCGTAAGCTGTCAACATCCGGCCACGCTCTACCCTCCGCCGCGGCTCACATGCATGCACAGGGCACGTGTTTGGCCAAAATGTCAAGCGCGAACAATGCTATGACAATCTGCGCGTGTCGCGGAATGCCTGGGACAGCAACCTGATCAAGGCTAACCCCAAGTACATCGCCGTCAACTGGGAGTCTGGTGGTGGAGGCGCATTCGCCGTCATCCCCCTGGAAGAGCGAGGGAAGCTGCCGGATGCCATCCCATTGTTCCGAGGACACACGGCAGTCGTGCTGGACACGGACTGGAGTCCTTTTGACGACAACATCATCGCATCCGCCTCGGACGACGGCAAGGTCTTCCTGTGGCAGGTGCCTGAAAACTTCCAGCTGCGCACGGATGCCGAAGAGCCTGAGGATGTAAAGCCTGTCGGCAAGCTGAGTGGGCACTCGCGGTATGCTGAGACCGAGCAGGCTGATCTTCGTGGGAACTGACAATGGCACAGAAAGGTTGGCCACGTGCTCTTCAATCCTGCCGCCGAAAACGTCCTCGCTTCCTCCTCCGGCGACTTCACTGTCAAGATCTGGGATCTCGAAGATGGCAAGTCGAAGCTCACCTTGAAGGGCAACGACATCTTCACCTCCATGTCATGGAGCGCCGACGGAAGCACCTTGGTGACCACTTCAAGAGACAAGAAGCTACGCTTCTGGGATGTGAGACAAGAGAAGCCTGCGTATGAGGTGCCCGGACACAGCGGTGCCAAGATTAGTAAAGTGCAGTGGATGGGCGACCACGACAGAGTTGTGACTACAGGCTTTTCCAAGATGAGCGAGCGACAAATGGGTCTCTGGGACACACGCAACCCGACAACACCCATTGGTGACTTCGTGCCACTGGACTCTGGCTCTGGTGTGGTCATGCCATTCTGGGATGATGGCTCACAGATCCTCTACCTTGCGGGCAAGGGTGATGGCAATATCCGCTACTTCGAATATCAAAACGACAAGTTCGAATTCCTGTCAGAATACAGATCGCCAAACGCTCAGCGTGGTCTGGCTTTCATGCCGAAGCGTGGAGTCAACACGCACGAGAATGAGATTACACGTGCATTCAAGTCTGTGGACGATGTATACATCGAGCCCATCTCATTCGTGGTGCCGAGGCGTGCAGAGACTTTCCAAGACGACATCTATCCACCTACGGTTGGCACAGAGCCAGCCATGTCAAGCGGAGAGTGGTTCCAAGGCAAGAGCGCACTTCCGCCCAAGCTCAATATGGAGGACCTGTTCGATGGCAACGAGCCAAAACTGGTTGCCGCAGAAGCACGACCAAGGACTGCCACGACATCCGCCCCAGCCCCAGCGCCTGCGCCTCTTCCAAAAGCAGAGCCGGCGCCAGAACCCAAAGTGGAGCCAACTCCAGCGCCAGCTGCTGCTACACGAGAACTCCCCAGCGTGAACCAGAACAAGCAGTCAATGGCCACCATGGCAGACAAGTTTGCCGACAAGGACGAGGAGGAAGAAGATGTCCGCGATGACAGTTCTTTCGAGGAGATCCAGAAGCCAGTGGAAAGGCCTTCTGTGATTGCGGCACGACAGGCAGAAGCGACCAAGCCATCTGCCACTTCTTCTGCACCAGCTCCTGAGCCAAGGGCTGAGCCGAAGAGCCTCGCAACGAATACCGGCGAAGGCGTGCCTGCAGCAGCTGTCAAGCCAGCCTCGGAGCTCCGTGATGAAAGCAAGACAGCGTGCGCATCTTCTGCTGCAGCACCGTCTGCAAGTGCCGCAGCTGGTGGTCTCCGCGACGTTCTTAATGAGATCCGGACCATGCTGCAAGTACAAGGCAAGCAGATCGAGCAACTCACGTCGGAGGTGGCTCAGCTCAAATCGAAACTCGGAGAGTAGGTACCTCCAGCGACTTGTGCGACCGCCACAAACGACATTCCTCCACGACAGCCTTCAACTCATCCAGAAGTGATCAAGACGCCCTCCGTCTCACATTTAGCTGGCAGAGTGAGCACCATCTCGAGCAGAATTGGTGCGATGCAGTCGAATGCCCAGCACGATCGGTATCGCTATCACTTCATACCAGAGCTACCAAAGCAGGCAAGAGCGACGTTTTGATCAGGTAAAGATGTCTTGTTTTAGCGACTTGTGTAAGAGAAATAGAGATGCTGTACGAATCAACGGCCATTCCAGTGATGTCCTCGATGCAATCGTCATAGAAATTCCATGCGCTGTGTTCATAAGTACGTGCCGTCCCCGTTTCAAGCTTTGATGGTAGACGCCACTTCCGCGAATCCTAACATGACTTCCTCCTCACCTACAGAACGCAACACCGAAATGGTCAACCCACGCGTGATCATCGTCACTGGTGCTGTAAGTATTGTCTGCATCTCACAAATTTGACTCAAGCACTACGACAGACTGACATCAATGATTCTTCACAGAATAGAGGTATAGGACGCGCCATCTGCGACAAGATCCTCTCAAGACCCAATGTCGGACCCATCAAGCTATTCGCAACATCACGAAAAGGCGATGACCTCGCAATCAAGGCACAAAGTCCAGATCAGAAAGTGCTTTACCCCAAGCTAGACATCTCTGTCCAAGACAGCATTCGCGACTTTGGCGCGGAAGTCCAAAAGCTCCATGGACCTGTTTCTGTACTCGTGAACAACGCGGGCGTCAATCTGGACCAGCCTGCGAAGAGTTATGGACCGGAGAACGCAAAGAAGACGCTTGACATCAATTATAGAGGGACACTGCAGGTGAGTATTTTCTCCTTCGCGCATATTTTTTCAGAAGGATGCTGATTCTATGCAAAGATGTGCCAAACGTTTCTTCCACAACTCAGCGATGGCGGCAGGATAGTCAATCTGTCCTCGATTGCTTCAAGCATTAACATCTACAGCCCTGAGATCCAACAGCGTCTCCGCAGTGCAACCACGTTCGAAGAACTGGAACAAATCGCCCAAGAATTCGAGGTACGTACCTCATGCTCATCACATTTTCAACCTAGTCATCATGCCACGAACACACCACTACCTTCTGTTGTATATCAACAACAACAAACAACTTGAAACGCGAAACTAACACGACATCTTTTCCAACCCGAACAGCACTCCGTCCGAACCTCAACCGAAGCATCCTCAGGCTTTCACTCCACGCAACGAAGCTACAACGTTTCCAAAGCCCTACTTCGTGCAGCAACACGCATCCTCGCCTCTCAGAGCCCCCGGCATCTGATCAACTGCTGCTGTCCAGGATGGATAGACACCGACATGGGCGGGCTGATGTCTTCGCGTGGAACGCGTCCGCCCAAGACCGCGGAAGAAGGCGCTCGAATCCCTGTCCGCTTGGCATTGGACGATATCGGCGGCGTCACGGGTGAGCACTGGGCGAACGATTCTGTGAGGAGCCGTGAAGAGGGGAAGGTGATGAAGGATTGGGAGGAGAGTTGATGCATACTGTATGCATCATGCACTGTGATACAGAAAGATTAATGCTTGCCTGCAGAACTGCACACTGCAATGCACGATCTTAATTCTTCTTCCAGAAACCAACACCGACCGTCTTTTCGTCCTACCTGCCCTTTCGATCATCACGCCATGCTTCCATACGAACAACAACAGCACAACAGCAACGGAAACAGACTTTTCGTTTCTTCGGCTCCAAATGCCCAAGCATGCACACTCATCGCACAGCACAACCAAACCTCCGAGGAAAGAAAGAAAAAAAAACACAGCACAATAGTAATACCGAGATGAGATCTCCATTCCAACTGAACATTCTAGGTTCTAGCGCGGCATTGACAATACCCTTCTCCTTTCTGGCTGCCACGTGCGCAGCATCCAACCATGCTAGTGCACGCTCTGTGCTCGAGCAAAGGCCAACAATGACGAAATAGGGGTGCATTCAGCAATGATGAAGCGAAGTGAAGAACCAGAACAGCCGACATTGATGCTGTATACCAAACACAACAAACAACAGTACATGCTTCTCACCTCGCCAGATCGAAGCTCTACTCGATCGCCGCGCGAATCCATGTCCAATGTAATGCAATGCAGAAAATACCCCTCCATTCTAGCATTCTGCAGCAGAAGAAACGAGACAGACAGACAGCAACACATCATCCGATCTCACGGGCCCGCGCGAGCGTGGGGTGGATTCGCGACAAGGCACAGGAGATGCAGTCTCACCATGAACGTCAGCAACCAGCACTCCAAAAGCTGCAAGATGATTGCTCAGTATCCCATCACCATAGCTACTACCGAAGAACACGCAGCACATCACAGGGATCACGAATCCACGCGATGGACGATCACACACGGCGTCGGTGATGATGGTGGTGTGCACGTTCAGTCGCCAGCTTATCCATGCACGTTTTGAGAGACAGTCTGAGAAGTTCAAAAGGTGTGCATAGTCCGTGTCAAGTGTGCAAAAGTCCGTATGTAAGTAAAAAGTTACGAGTGGGAGTCTGTCTGTCGCTGCTGGTGCTGCACTTCGGGCATCCTTTTCTTCTTCATTACACATTTCCCAGTACTCCGCCCAGCCAACCATCCTCCCTTCCGAACTCCTGGAAACGAATACAAGAAAACTGTTTTGAACGAAGCGCTCGAAATGCATCCAACATTTTCCAACGCCACCGACGACGCTCAATGATCGATTGAGAAGTATCGACACAACAAGCGTGCAAAAAGAAGAGATCGCTGCTGTCATCAAACACACTGCATCATACAATGATGTGTACAAAGCCTCGGAACAAGAAGCGACAGATGAGAGATGCTTGGTGACAAGCACGTAACGAAAAAGTCCGTCTGTCCAACTCCAGACGATTGACATGTGATCGAACGACATGGGAAAGACTGGTGTCTTGTACACTTTCAAGGACCGTCCAAATCCTGACTTTGGGCCTTCGAAGCTTCAAAAGCGAAGCGGCGCTCTGAGCACTCCTCCTAGAAGATCATGCTCTTGACTGCGTCTCTTGAGCGATGGCCTCGTCGAGGGCTCATGGGAGGCGTCTTAGGTCTCATTCCAGAATTTGCGAGAGGTGCAAGCGGGAGATCCATAATTGAAGCTGAACCTTTCACGGGACTGTTTGGAACGCTGCTGGCCACTGGCTTACGGTCACTCAGCTTGCGAGCTGGGGCAGGAGGTTTCGTGAAGTCGCGCACGTCCGTGCCTGAGGAAATTTGAGGCGTTGATGGGATGCCTTCGGCTTTCTCCCTCGACAGGACAAGGTCCGTCCAGGAAGCGGACTTCTTGCCCGTGTCAGCTTTGCCGATGACTTGACTCAATGCCACCATCCAGTCTGCCTTGTCTGCTGTCTTGTCGGCATAGAAGTCGATTGTCTCTCCATTGGCGAAGCGGATTCGGAAGCCCTCCTCCACGTAGGCATATCCTTCATCCTCTTCTGCAAATGCAGATTTCCGGCGGCCACCTTTGTTTCCAGGGTTGCCAGACTTTGGATCAGCTACAAGGGTGCTCTTGTCGTCCACCAGGCGTGTAGCCTTAGTGAGATTGATCACGGCCCGCTTTTGCTGAGTATGCTCGTGGTATGCGGTCAACCGCGGGCCTTGCAGCCGGAAGAATCGCCGTCTCCAGTGAACACAGTCACCACCTTGCTGACTGAGATGGCCCTCGTGTACAACCTCGACACGCTCGCTTGCTCTATTCATCTCCCGTACTGCACTGCTCATGCTCTTCGGCATGTCTTCGTCCGCCGCTCCGGCTGGCTTTGGCACGTAGAGAAGTTCAAGTTGGAGGAAGCCGACAATGTACGGTGGTCGTCGAACTGGACCAGCATTTCCACGCTTACTCCGCACACTGTTGACGACCTGCGAATCCCGCTCGAGAGCCCATTCGTTGTAGCATGGCACATCGACTATCAACTTGCGGCCAAAGCATTGCTTCTCATGTGCGCGCAAGTTGACGTACGCGCGTGCGAATGAGCCGTCTTGAGCATTCACAAGATCGTGCAGCAGATCCCAAGCTGTTGGTGCAACAGATGCACGCTTCCGACGCTCCTCCTCGAGTAAGCGGCGCTCTTCAGCCTCTGCCGCTTCTCTCTCTTGGCGCTCCTTCTCAGCACGCTTCTTTGGACTCGTCAAGAAACGTGACAGACTGCTGGTCTTTTGATGCTTCGAGCCCTTCGTAGGGGAAGTGGGTGCGTTGAGCGGAATATGCTGCTTTGGTGGTGGCGGGAGCTTGGTGTTCAGAGTAAGCTGGAACTCCAGGTCATTCAGTACTACCAGTTCGAATTCCTGCCCGATTGGTGCATTTCGTCCCAGCTCCAGGCTGGTCGTCGTAACACAATGGAGTCCGTTGTCGAGAGTAAGCTGGAAATACAGTCGATCGTTCTTGGGCATTGGCAAATCCAGTTCCTTGACTCCCGCAACCTTGACGAAAAGTCGGCCACGTTCGATGCCTTCTCCGACATCGTCTTCAAGGCTACTCGTGCCTGCGGCAAAGTCTTCGTTGACAACACCAAGAACACTCGCTTGACCTGGTAGAGGTGGAGCAGGACCGGTCGAGTGCTGTGCCGCTGACGCCTGGCGTTGGCTCTTCCTACGTGCCTTGCCATTCCATGCTTCCGTTTCGAGGATCCCGCTGCCCTTGCGAGGGCTCGAATTCGCACTGCGCCCGCCACGAGAGCTTGGTCGTGCTTCTGCTGTTGGTGACATGGGAGGCTCGTTGGACTTCGCTGTCCCATTGCTGTCGCCAGAGAAGTTGCGGTTAGTAGCCACAACGAGCTTCGTGTTCTGGCGCATGAGGTATCCTTTCTGCTTGCGAGGAAAACGGTTAGCACCAGCACTAGTCTGATGTGACGAATAGGGAGTCACCAAATGGGAAGATGGCTCTGCTGTCTGCCCTTGTCGACTGACAAGATCAGATCTGCTAAGAGCACTGATAGGAAAATGGTGCGGTACCTTTTGGTTCTCGATGACTCGCTCGAACTCGTGTTCAAGTCCAAGGCCATCGTCATCGTCAGCGGTCACACGAGGAATATCCAGATCAAGCTTCAGCTGCTTTCGGCTCCCTCGACGACGAGTAGTTTCACGAGTAGTCTCTTGAGTGGACTCAACGGCAGAGTCTGCTTTCGATTCATTGCCGTCTGACGAATACTGCGATGGCTCCTCAATCTCGCTGGCTTGTTCAACCTCTGCCTGGTATGCTTGCGGGATGGGTGGAACAGGATGACCGGCACTAACGATTCGTCGCTGTTCAGCCATCATGCGCAAGTCGGCTGGAGTCGCGGATGGTCGAGCTTTGAGCTGACCGTTCGTCTTGATGGTAGCCCTCCGCTCGGGGATTACTGGAACTTCTAGTTTGGACTCGACTGGTGGAGGAAGCTCTTCGAAATCGTGCACCTCACTGCTGGAGTGATGTATGACCGAATCAGGACTGCCTGGCGGAGAGAACTCGCCATCATCGTAGTCAGCGCCATCATATGTAGGACGTGGCAGATCCTTGAGAACTGGTTTGGCTTCAACCTGCGGCTCGCTTGCGACCGATGGCTGCAGAACTGGCGCACTTGAGACAATATCCGTCTGTTTGGTTGACTCCTCTGGTGCTGGTGATCGGACAATGTAGTCCTTCATGCCGAAATCGAAGTCATCGGAGGCGAGGTAGGATGGTAGACCCATGAAGTCTCCACTGGTCGACTTCTGTGGAGCTGACTCAGCCTGCGAGTAGTCCTTGACTGTGAGCAGCTGCATGGCATCCTCTAGCTTCTCCTTTACATCATCAGCTTCCGGCTCTTTATCAGACTGAGCCTGTAGAACTGTGCTCTCGGCATCCGGCTCAACAGAGGAGTACTGGCTCTCGGAGTCGTCGTTGTTGCTAACATCGTGACGAAGGACAGAAGATTGGCGTTCGTAGTCATCCAAACGCGAAGGTGATCTTGCTGGTTCAGACAACAACGACTCGTCAGCGACTGGGATAGCGCTCAAGTCAATGGCGTCGTCATCTTCAAGTGGCTCATCCTTAATCTCGACCTCTGCAGACTCATATCTCTCGTGGCCAAGTGGGCCAAGAGAGTGCTCGCTCACGTCGTGGCTATTTTCTCGCGATGGAATGGGCTCATCTGGGTGCATCATGGCCAGCTCCTTGTATGATGGACGCTCCGGACTGTCGCCCGCCTCTGTTGGGGTTTCTTCTTCGTCCTCAAATTCGTATCTGGAATTGCGAACCTTGCGCAGAATGCTTTCTCTGGAAATGGTGGGTGGCTCATCATCGTCGAAGTCAGGGAGGTCCGCAAGGTGAGACTCTTCCTCAGGCTCTTCTTCCTTGATTGCCACGTCGGACTTCTCTCCCGTGTCCAGATTGGTTATGGTCATTTCCGCATGGCCTTCAGAGTGTTTCGAGCTCGGGCGATCTGCGGATTCTTCTGTGTGAATGTCCTTGCCGCACGAAGCCCGCTTTGGTGGAGAAGGCAGGTTGCGTGCAAGGTTCGAGGCACGCTCAGCAACAGCTGCAGCTGACTCTCGGCGGCCATTCATGAAAGCAGGAAGTGGAGGCAATGGGCGGGACTCGCCTTCTGAAGCCAGGCTTCCAGATCGCGAAAGATGCTGCCTCTGCACCTCTATAGAGGAGCCCTCGAAGACATCGTCTCCATCGTCAACAAGATCTCGGCGAGCTTCGTCGGGCGACATGCGCGACCAGTCTTCTGGCAAAACGACAGGCGTCTTGTCGACATTCTCCAAGTCTGCGTCAAAGCTGTCATCATTGTGATATGGCTCGAGCGAACTCCCACGCTCGAAGCTGTATTCATCGTAGTACTCATCCGAGTCGAAGCTACCCTCTCGGGAGCCAGATGCTGCTGATACTGAGGGCTCCGGTGTGGGGTTCTCGTAGACGTTGATCTCTGGCTCGGCTTCGTGGAAGGTGACACTTTTGTTGTGGCGGTGTATGGCGCGAGGAGTAGGCGCGCGGTCGTCACCGTCAGACCATGGCCCACTGTCGTGCTCGAAAGAACCGAATTGACTGGTGCGTGAAAGCGAAGATTTGGTAGGTGAGGATGCCGGCTCCTTGGATGGTGAAGAAATGGACTTTGCCTGTGGGCTGCTGGGGATGGAGACAGCCGTCTCGCTCTCAGTGCGCTTATGTGCCGATGGCCTTTTGGGGCTCTGCAGCGGGTTGTTCTCTTTCTTAAGGCTGTCATATCTGGTGAAGTGGTTGTTGGCCAAGTTCCCGCTCAGCGGGCGGTTCGCACTCGGGCGCTCGACGATGGGTAAGCTCGATGGATCGTACGCATCCTTGTTCTCCAAGGCAAAGATGTTGCTCTGCTTGACGCGGCCGGCTTGCCTCAGCCTCTCAATGCTGGCTCTTCGCTTGGCCGACAGGAGATTGGGCGAGTTCTCGCGGTCGGATGAGGCCTCGTTGTCGAAGCGAGAGGGCGACATGGGGTCCCTCGTCTTCCAGAAATCGCGCGGCGAGGAGTTCTCGTTGAGGAAAGAGGAGTTGTCGGTGTAGGGCGAGGAGTCGCGCGAGACGATCATCTTCTGCGCGGACGTGTCAGTCAGTAAACACGGGCAGGCGGGGTCGGGAAGTCAGCTCTTACCCTCGTCGCCTGGTTGTAGCTGGGGGAGTTGCGTCGTGGAGAAACGCTGGTGATCTCGGAAAGCGCAGCCCGAGTGGCGGCCATCTTGTTGGGCGTGGATGAAGGCGTGTTGCCGGACTTGGAGATGCGCAGCGGCTGGACCTGTCGCACCATGGTGAGTAGCTGTCCCCAAAAGTGCGAGCGCCCGTCACAGTCGCGGCGACGAGACGAGAATAGGCTAGATGCGTACGGAATCCATTGCGCCGGGAGAACAGCGTGTGTCGAGTGCACAATGCAGCAGCACGGCTCAAACGCTGGAATGTTGTCGCTGGCGAGCCGAACTTCACACCGGCGCCGTTGCGGCTCTGCGCTCAGATGCAATAATCGCGTTGCGGAAGAATAACAAGCGGTGTGAAGAAGAAGCTGTGCAAAGTGCCTGCTGATGCGCCTGTCATCTCATTGCCCAAACGAATGAAGACAATGTTATTGTGAGAGTGTGAAGACGGCGCAGAACAAGAGGGCAGATGCACTGCATATTCCTTCTTGTTGGGCAGCCCCATTCGCATGTTGATCGTGGGTCGCGGTTGCCCGTTGCCCTGGCGACTGCCCAGTCCAAGTTTCAGCGCGTCAGCGTTCCGATCCGCTTCCGCCACTCTTGGCGGCGATCGCGGAAGATCTCCCTCGAGAACTTTTGGGGAAACATCTCTGAACTGATGATCCGTGAGTGGCCATCGACATGCAGCGCCTCTCTGCTGCCCTCTGCCCCTTCTGCGAGGCGCGGGCTCTCGCAAAGCCCTTTCAGCCCGCATGGCAGCAGCAAGCGCGCAATGCGGCGACCCTGCAGAAACGCAAGCCCTCGCGCATGGTGCTGTCAGAAAGAGTGGCTAAGGGGCCTTCGAGACCGGCGGAGGATGGTCATGGCCGACCGACAAAGATGCGGACGAAGAACAGTCCGTTTGGAGGTATGAACGTGACGGAGGTGCCCAGAATGCTGCAGGTGCAGAGGAACAAGATTTCTGAGGCGGAGAGGAAGAGACAGGAGAAGATGAAGCCAGGGAACGGTAAAAGAGAGCAGACTCCCAAAGACCCAATGAGGGCAATGAAGATGCAACGCCGGTTGGCGAACATCTCGTACGAGAAGCGCAATAGGATCAAGCAGGAGATAGCTGAACGAGAGAGCTTCAATGACTTTGATCTCTTGCCCATCATCAAGGAATCCATCAGCACCCAAGCGCTCGCCGGACAGCTTGACATTTCCCCCTCCCCAATACAACGATTAGCGATTCCCGCACTTCTCGATACCCCCGATGGACGACGGCGAAAGAAGAGGCACGTGCAGGATGAACCATCGAAGGACATGAAGCAATTCCTGCTTGCCGCAGAGACAGGATCTGGAAAGACGCTGGCGTATGCATTGCCCGTGATTGATGCGATCAAACGGGCAGAGAAGGTCGAGGCGCAGGAGCAAGAGCGTCAAGAGAAGGAGAAGATGGAAAAGAAGCAGGCAGAACGACGACTGTTTGAGTTGGATGAACCTGAAGTGGAAGATCTGTCTAAAGGGCGGCCACGCGCCATCGTTCTAGTTCCTACGGCTGAGCTGGTCAACCAGGTCGGCGGCCTTCTGAAGAGCCTGTCGCATACCATCAAATTCCGGACAGCCATGGTCAGCGCTGCCTTCACAGGGACTGTTATCCGCAGCCGTCTCTTTGGTCCAGGAGGCGTGGACGTTGTCGTTGCGACGCCTCACTTACTCAGCAGTATCTGCGAGAGCGATCCGAACATCCTGTCACGAGTATCACATCTGGTCATCGACGAAGCGGACAGCCTGCTTGATCGTTCATTCAGCCCAATCACATCTGGGATTATTGATCGCGCCGCTCCCTCGCTCGAAAAGCTGGTCTTCTGCTCGGCCACGATTCCGCGAAGTGTTGACTCGTACTTGAACAAGCGGTATCCAGAGACTAAGCGACTTGTGACGCCAAACCTCCACGCCATTCCTCGTCGCGTTCAGCTAAGCGTGGTCGACATTGAGAAGGTGCCATATCAAGGAAATCGTGACCTGGCCTGCGCGCAGACGATTTGGGACATCGGCAAAGAAGCTGCAGAGGCAGACGAGGACAGGGAAAAGAAAATCGTTGTGTTCGTTAACGAGCGAGAAAAGACAACAGAGCTAGCAGGCTACCTCAAGTCCAAGGGCATCGATGCGACCGCATTGTCCCGAGACAGCGACGATAGAAAGCAAGCAGAAACATTAGCTGCTTTCACTGGTGCTGCAGTACCGACGACCAGGCATAGCGCAGAAAAGGCCACGCGCAAGGAACGTAACGACTCAAGTCAAGCCATCAGCGCAGGCGATCTCGCGGAGAGAGCCAGTTCGGTCCCACCTCCACGACAACTGAACAATACCAAGGTTCTAGTCATGACCGATATTGGCTCGCGTGGCATTGACACTTTGCTTGTCAAGCACGTTATACTCTACGATGTACCGCACACCAGTATTGACTTCATACATCGCCTCGGTCGTGTTGGCCGTATGGGCAAGAGAGGTAGAGGAATCGTGCTAACCGGCAAGCACGACCGGAAGGATATTGTGAAAGAGGTCAGAGAAGGCATGTTCAAAGGACAAGCGCTGATTTAGACAGCAGTCGCGCGAAGATACCCTGTAAAACTACGGCATTACATAAATGTACAGTAACGAGATTCCCTCTCCCTAGCCAGTGTCGAGTACGTCCTGCTGGTGAGAACTAACTTTCTCTTTCTGTACATTGCCAAGCTTGTCGATCTTTACAAGCTGCAGGCTGCAGCAGAATACGCGAGGCCGATCGATCCTGAATGCACAGACACGTATCGCCGGCACACAATGCACAAACATCGCAAGCATCACGCGCAACGATTATGCGTGAGCTTCACTGGCAGTTCAAAGGCTGGGCTGTTTAAACTTTACGCGTGAGCTCATAGTGGGTCATTCCTAGAAATGGCAAGGCCGATTTCTTGGAGTGGAAAGCAGGATAACAACTCCAGTAATTCTTCCCACGTCCACGACTTGACAGCAGACCTCGATTGTGATGCCTCGCTCTCCGGTGGCCGCAGTGGCTCTAATCTGCTTCTGTCTCCTCACTTGCGCTCACGCCTTCGGCGCTGGCGAAGTACCAGAGGACAACGAATGGCTTGGCTACGTCTGGCGACATGGAGATATTGGTAACTTGTTACCTCTGCTGCCAGTCAGCTTCGTGAGCAACTATGCCTTCACAAAATTACAAGCCAAGCAGGTTTATTTCGGCAACTGGTTACGGGACTTTTCGCAACTGCTCGATACCACTTGCTTAGACAAGGTCCACGAGTCAATTCTGCGGGCTGTGGTTGCGATTTTGGCGTTTATGGAATTTGGACTCGCTACTGATGGCTTCGATGTCACAAAGGAGCGTCTTGGAGTCTATCGACATGAGGAGCATATTGATAATCCGAAAGGTATGTAAACGTATTCTCTTGACGCATGACGATACTCTCGAACATGATAACAAGTGTAAGCTGTGTTCGAGAGATCTGCAATTGATAACTTTCGATCGCACAACGTGTGAGAGGCTCATGCTGACCTTTGATCGAAATTTCAGGCTACGCTGACCTGCCGGACAAGGACGCCACAAAAATCGATGGCAGACTCCGTGGTCCAGTCAGGGAAGTGGAGCTCGAAGTCGACCCAAAGACTGGCATGAAAAACTATATTGCAAACTCAGGAAAGGATTGGACGACATCAGCTGACTATATCCGTAAGAAGCTGTGGGCATGCATTGAATACAAGCGTAACGAAAATGAGGCGGATGCGCTCATCAGCCTGGGAGCGGCAATGCACACTATAGAAGACTTCGCCGCCCACAGCAATTTCATCGAGCTGTGTCTCCGTGAATTTGATGGATGTCAGGATATCTTCGCATTTGTGGGCGACAAGAGTTGGATAGAGGCACCTGGCTCGCACAGCAAAGTCCCTCCGTTAACAACAGGCACATTTGGCGCTGTTGATATCCTGCACAGCTTTCTAGGAGAGGCCGATGACCGCGCGGCCATCATCAACAGGGGCGAGACGAGAACTACCTCTTTTGGCGACCTGTCAAATATGCAGTCCAAGCTCTTTTCATCCTCGAATTTCAAAAGTGCCTTCCAGGCCATTGCTTCAGTTGCTGAGAAGATCTCGTCACTTACGCCAGGGAACAGCGACATTGCTGGTCAGCTGCAATCAATCAATTCTGCTGTCACGGATGCTCAGAACAATTCCAACCAGACCAAATCCTCAGATGAAAAATCCGATGAACCTTTTCCCAACTTATGGAATGCAATCCACCCAATCTTCAAACTTCACGACGACATTCAGCTCTGGACCATGAAGCATGATGATGGACCTACCTTTCCTGGGCTGAGCAAAGCTATAGAAGACATCAAGACACAGGCGGACAATCTTGCATACAAGTTACTGGCTGCGTTCATCGAACCGGCGCTCAACGAAGTCCGTGCAGCTGCAGAAATGGCCAAGCAGCAGACAGTCGAGATGAGTAAGGCGTCAGAAATTTGGGAACCAGGCTCCATGGACTCCAATCCAACACATTCAGAACTGGCAAAAGATCATTTCAGCAATCTTTTAAATCAGCCAGCGGGCATCATTGCCACTATCTGCCTGAACTGGAGCACTCAGCAGATAGTGAAATGCTGGGATGATCCTTCATTAGATGTCGAAGAGACGATCGAGGATATCCTCTCCATCATGCACCATCCTGCATTCGTGCAAGAACCAAGCGACATACAGCGATACATGCAAGATTCTGTCCGCGAGTGGTGGGACGCCCACAGCGAAGATCAGCACATATACTTGCTGAAGAAGCTCTCGAAAGAATCCGCCCAGGACCGATGGAATCACCATGATCACACAATGACTGCTCGAGACATGGCGGGTCGAGGCACGAAGGGCTTCGCCTCGTTTCCAGGAGCCTGGCCAGAGACTACTCCACGACCAGTCGACGATACATTACGACAGCAGTTCGTGAAGAAAGTCCAAGAGGTAGCGGACGGGCTTCGAAACGCTAGCGAGAAAGTCGTAGATGCAGCTCACACAGTTGGAGACAAAGTCGGAGTCACCAAGGCGTTAGGGCTAGGCAAGTCGGAGGAATTGGATGACGCGGTGACACGACTTGCGAAAGAGCACGACATCAGTGAGGGAGAAGTCAGAAAGAAGCTTGACTTAGGTGGACCTCACTTGTAGAACTTTGGACATTTGGCTTGGACGAGTATAGAACTTACATTGCTAAAGCACAAAACTACTAATGACTATTCCAATTCAATAAAAATTACTTTCGCCTCACTGGCTACACAGCTGCGGCCACTAAGGGCTTGTCGCAGATTTCGCTGAGCGAACGAGCAAATCTTGGATCATCGTGAAGCTAGAGCTATAAATTACTAATCGAGATCTCGGTGAGCGATGTCTTTCTCGGGGAGATGCTGGCGAGGTATGCCACCGGAGGAAAGGAAGAGGAGATGTGAGCGGTCAAATTCAAACGGCAACTAATGGGAGACTGCATGTTCGGCGAGCGAGCGCTCACATGGTTGTCGCGTTCTCGAAAGCATCGGTGCTTGACCGAGTCTTGAAGGTCCGAAGGAAGAGAGGCAAGTACTAAGATTCGATATAGGCACAGATGAGCCGAGAATGGAGTTTTACAATCACGTACGCGCGTACAGATTTTCTCTGGCTTCCGCTGGATTTGGTGCGTGATTGAGAGGATCAAAGGATATGTGAGTTACACGGCAGTGAGAGCTTACCATAGACAGAGTCCCCAGATGTTCGAACATTTAGGAGATAGCACGTCTAGTGTACCGATGTAGGTCAGAGAGTCGAAACGATCATCGACAATGCATTCCCAAAGTGGAACGAACAATCCCGAGATCGAGAAGAATCAATGCAAATACTCATCGACCACACGAGATCAACCCCAAAATTAGCATGACGATTGCACCGGGACCGAGACTGGGACCGCGCTGCTTCTGTGATACATCGCATAGCGATATGCAGTTCGAGCATTGCCAGAAAGAGAGAGTGGTGCAAAGACGCAATACAAGAAGGGCAATAGAGATTTTAATTCTACTCTAGCGACTTTTTTTCAGCCAGTCTTTGGGCCTATCATTCACATGCGTTCCTGACGCATTCTTTGTCGATATCTTGGTATCTCTGATTCACAATCAAACGCCTCGCCACCGAGTAGGCATCTACCGCCCATTTCGGAGCTGGCTGAAAAGCGCAGTAGCACGCTGAGTCTGGCCAGCAGTGAATCGATCCAGGCAGGAATCATCACTGTAGTCCATATAGTTGTGAATGCTGTCAACACCGCCGCCGGGGCAAGTATCCTTGCCAACAGGGCATCCGCTGGTAAAGGTTCGTTGAGGTGGGGTGTCGCTGACAGAGTCGCCGGCTCCAGTGCAGCTTTGGCCCTGGAAGACGTGGAAGAGACCGAGCCAGTGGCCGATTTCGTGAGTGGCGGTGGCACCCTCGTTGAAGGGTGCAGCAGCACCACCTGGAAGCGAGTCTGCAAGGTTCACGCAGCCGTCGAGGGTGCGGTCGTTCGTGGTTGGGTTGGCGACTGGGAAGTAGCACCTGAAAGCAGAATGTTAGAAACAGCTGGGGAAACATCCACACTTGCAGTCTCTCAACGCGACCTGGACTCCACGCTTGCTTCGCTTGTCGACACAAAGTGCCTCGGATACGCTCGACAGGGCGAAGATACTAGAAGCAGAGAAATGTGAGAGTTGCTTACCATCCGAGGGTATCGCCTGGAATGTCGGAAACGAAGTAAAGATCAAGCTCATCATAGCCTTGGGCTTTTCTGAGCGCAGTCTTCATATTACGCTCGTTGGCCGTGCCAAGGTTGGCAGTTGCCCAATTGTTGTTGACGGTGAAGTCGGTCGACGCCAGCCTGAAGGTGAATCCCATACCCGCGTAAGCCTGGTCTATCAAGTGAAGTCAGCAAGAGGCACGAAGATGTCTAAGACAAGGCTCTCGCGCGTTGGAGATGCCTTATAGCGGCTAATCTTACTCATGGCCTATTGCATATTGTCAGTCAAGATTCTTTCCCTAGAATACTTGTAGAAACAAAGTGTTGTTTGGAACCAAGCGGAAGAGCAGAGAACACCCAGGATCTCCAGAGAGAGACGAGTTTTCAGGTGAACATTGCGGCATGTGAGTCCAAGGAAAGAAGCGTGTAAGCTTCGCCCCCACTGGCACTACTGGCGCTCTCTGCCAGAAATTGCTCGACCAAGCCATCGAGGGTTTAGAAAAGGCGAAATACGTACACTGATCTGGCTCTGAATCATAGCTTGGGAGTAACGACCTTGCTTCGAGGACGAAGTAACGACGTGTACGTATGTTGGAATTGTCGCAGCAGCCATTCGAGAAATTTCGAGATTGGCAGCGCCCTCAGCCGCGGCGGCTTCGAGGGCAGCAACTTGCTCTGCTGCTGGTGCACCGAGGGCACATCGCGTATAGGTAGATTGCGCAGATGCGATGCTGGCGGCGGCGGCTGCCAAGAAAGAATTGTTGAACTTCATGGTTATGATTTGCTGCACAAATATTCTAGGCGAAGCGAAGAGAAGACGACCTTGATGGAATCCAAAGGCATATCATGCGTGCCGCTCCCTCGCTTTTTGTATTCTTCTGCCCAACACATATTGCGACTGTTGCCGGCACATCTCCATGCCCTCTCAGCCTACTCGCTTCAGATAGCGACACCTGCATCATCGTGTATCTGCTTGGCCAGCCGGACGCTCGTACGAAAGTGGAAGTTGTCAAGACCATCACAACGTGGAGACGTTATACCGTTCGCTCGTGGCCTCGCGAGTGATGTCGCTCTCTTGCCACGTTCGGAAGGTTGCAATATGCGTGCATGGTGGGACAGCTGGGCAAGATAGGATTCGGGCTTTCAGACTGGTGGTTACTGTAGAGTTAGCGGGCTTGGACTCGTAACAAGCCCGCTGATCTCCACCCCCTCTGCTAAGATCTCTCGGCGCCAATGAGACAGCTATCGCGGATTTCGCCAGTTTGCTTGAGCTGCAGCACAACACAGGGCAAGAATCGGTGGCGATGCTTGAGACGGAAGGAGATGTGCGTTGTGGCTGAACTAGCTGGCGAAATTGTCTTGTCAGAACCGGAGGACGGACAAGAATGAGGTTGATGCAGTTTGGCGCTAGTAAGTTTCCCAAGACGGGCTAGCGAGGCGAAAGCCACCAGTTATATGCGAGCAACAGTCCAGCATGACAGGACTTTGTCTCGTAACTACGTCTGTCGTTGTACGACTGCCGCTGAAGCCTGAAGGAACGAGCTGCATGCTCTGTCAACCCGATCATGGGCCAATCCTCTGCGACCTTGCTTGTTCGTTCCTGCGAGTTGTGCACAGGGGCCGATGAAACAGTCTGATCAGAACCAAGATGGTCGCGTTACCTGGAAGCGTGGACAGATGATCGTCGGCCCTGGAGCACATGATTGCCTCGCGATAATATCCCGAGCTGAATGGCCTCTTGCGGCAGTGCCGAAGGTTGCTTGCAGATCGGCGATGCATTGCACGCCCTGCACTGCAAGCACTGTATTGCGATATCCAGGCCATCATGGCCAGGTCGTACGGCTACCACGAGAGCATATGCAATCAGCACTGGAAGGCGACACCATGCTTCTTCACTTCACTTTTGCCACCTCCAGCGAAGCCAGTGCCATCGGTGGCCAGCTCGACGAGTCCACGCTCTGTCTTGCTCTCCTTCTCACCCGTTGAAGCGTCCTTCTTCCGCTTCGTTTTGCGACCAGGAGTGATGTCTTCTTGGCACACATAGCATCGCACGGAATCGTCATGCTCCTTGTCGTGCGAAGACTTCTCAGCTGCTTTTTGAAACTTATCGCTGCACGGCTTGCACAAGACATGACCACAAGGCTTTGCGAGTACGGCTTTCGTTGAATTCGACAGTGCTTTATTGCACGCAGGACAGCTCCGTTGCTTGGTGTTCGAATCAGCGGATGACGCTTCTTCGGTGAACTTGATCGAGACCAGTGATTTCAAAGTGAAGTCATGGGGCTTGTCGGACGAAGCTGCTGGACATGTCGGATGTTGCTTGATCGTTTTCGAGTCCGCCTTCTTGTTGTCTGGCGTCTCGCCTGCGACCCAGAACGCTGGCAAGTGTGGCTTGGAGTTCTTCTCGTCGTCCATCAACTTCCGAGCCTTGTCGCGATCCTCGTTGGCAAGTCGCACAAGCTCCTCTTCATCCAGCTCAAATTTGCGTTTCGTGCCCTTCTTTGCGCCTTCTTCCACCTCTTGCTCCACCACGACTTTGCCATTCTCTCGTCCAACGATGTTTTGGCTAGCTGTTGCCCCAGGCCTGGCGCTCAAACCGGCCTGCACCTTCTCGAACTCCTCGATGGCTCGCGCTTGCGCCTCCGCATCCTCCAGCTGCTTCTCCTCTTCATCCTCTTGCTTCCTGCGCTCGGCTTCCTTCTTCAGCCTCTTCAGCTCCTTGTTTTGTGCCAGCAGATTGCTCACGGCACATTCCCTGCAGTAGAGATGGCCATGACTTGAGCAGGACACCGGATCACGTGCAGGGAGAAGGCATAATTGACAGCTTCCGAACGGCAAGAAGCTATCCCGAGTGAGTCGAGTAGATTGAGAGCCCCAATGACCCTTCAGCTCATTGCGCTCGTGTGCGGTGAAGAATGCCAGCGAGGTATTCCTTTCTTGAATCGTTAGTACTTGCAGTTAATTCCGTCAATGAGAGTCGACCCACTACTGTGTGACATATTTGCCGCCTATCGGAGGATGATGTCCGTCCCGTGAATCAGTGTTGTTGCAGGTCTGACAAGGCGAAAGAGTGCCGTAGGACTGCAACCCATGTGAAGAACAGGGAGCACCCGAGCCGGCTTGGCATAAAACTCAAACCTTGATCCCTCCATAGCTGCCGACTGCACCTTGCTACCTCCTAGCAACACCTCATCGTCCCGCCGTCACACACAATATCAGGCTGCGCTGGTTCCCCTCGGCCCCGTTACTAACTTGCTGCCTACTTCTTCTCGACGTGATGTCGACATCTACCCCACAGCTGAGATACACGGTCACGAGGAATCCATCGCTGACATCTGGGGGTCTTCGGGCGGACCAAGCAAAGGAGGCCGTCCAATCCTTCGCAGATTCACCGTCGACAGATGCAGTGGCCACAGTCCGAAATGTATCCCCGAGTATCTGTCGACCGTCAGCTTGGAGTGACTGCTTTCTCGTGGACCTTCATGATGTGTTTCGGGACAGTGGATCTCATAGTCTGCCGCCGAAGAATAGACGAACAGCCGATCGATGCTCGAACCGAGAGTCTGTCTCCCTATGGGAAATATTCCAGAAAGTGAAGTCTGCTCCGCTCCTATGGGTCGCTAGGTGACCAGCGGACAAATCAGCTTCGCGACTCCATCCTACGGCCCCCCACATCTATGTGAAACCATGACAAGCCTTGCCAAGATGCCTCGAACTATGCATCGACCGTTTGGAGTACATGAGCCTGGCTTCTTTGCGCCTCGTCGGTCTTGTTTCGGACGTGCAGCACATATCGCGTGCGACTGACTGGGCCCCCAACCGCGAGCGCGTTACACATGTGGACAATTCCGTTGCGGAGCCAGAAGAACGTGGCGTGGACGGACGGACAAGCGACATGAAAGTACAGCAGGACCGATTTTTCCAAATTGCAAGTAGTAGTTTTCGTGATGCATTGATGAGTTGCACGACTGCATTGCTGGGCGACAATTGGGAGTCGTCGAATACAAAAGAGACGACAAGCCCCTAAGGTTTGAGACCAGAACACCAGCTCACTACATCTTCTTCACAGCCTCTCTTTCCTTCCTTCCCTCAAACCAACCACTCTCTTTCTCACCATGAAGTTCACCTCTTCGATCGCCCTGGCGGCGATGGCTTCTTTGGCCACTGCCATCCCCACAAACAATGCCAAGCGTGCCGATGGCCCTGTCGGATACGCATCCCAGAACGGCGGGTATGTCGAGCAGCCACTGACCTTGTATCTGCTTTTGCTAACATTCACAGCACCACTGGTGGTGCAGGTGGTACTACTACAACTGTCAGCTCCCTTGCTCAGTTCACTGCCGCTGCCCAGGCCGACGCGCCAACGGTTGTCTACGTAAAGGGCACCATCAAAGGCGATGTCAAGGTCCGTGTCACATCCGACACTTCGATCGTCGGTCTCGACTCCTCCTCCAAGCTTGAGGGCATCTCCCTCTACATCAAGGATGTCAAGAACGTCATCGTCCAGAACATTGCCAGCAGCAAGGTCGTTGCTAAGACTGGCGATGCCATCGGCATCCAAAAGTCCACCAACGTCTGGGTCGACCATGTGGATCTCTCTTCCGACCTCTCGGCCGACAAGGACTACTACGACGGTCTGCTCGACGTGAGCCACGCCGCCGACTGGATCACCGTTTCCAACTCCAAGCTCCACGACCACCACAAGACCTCTCTCGTCGGCCACAGCGACAGCAACGCCAAGGAGGACACTGGCAAGCTCCACATCACCTACGCCAACAACCACTGGGCAAACATCGGCTCTCGTGCACCACTGCTCCGCTTCGGAAGTGCTCACGTCTTCAACAACTACTACGAGAACGTCTCCACCAGCGGTGTGAACACCCGCATGGGCGCCAAGGCACTCGTTGAGAGCACCGTCTTCAGCAACGTCGTCAAGCCAATCCTCAGCGTTGACAGCAAGGAGACCGGAACAGCCGAGACCAACGATGTCGATCTCGGTGGTGCTGAGAACACTGCACCAAAGGGCAGCTTCGGCACTGTTCCTTACTCTTACACTCTCCTCGGAAGCAGCAAGGTCAAGGCCGCCGTTGTTGGAACTGCTGGCAACACCTTGAAGCTCGGTTAAGCGTGGGTTGCAGTGAATGGAAGTATGAGTCTCAGTCTCATGGGGCTCGGTCTGGTACACAGAGCTCGTCGGCGAGCTTCGCATTTGTTATGCGGGCAGCATTTCGAAAATTTGGTCAAGCAGTGATTTTAGTAGTAAGCGACAGATGTTAGTTTCAGTCATTCAGCCAGGTGCTTCTTATGCAACGAACCAGTCGATTGCTTCTACAAAACCTTTTTACGTGTACTGCCTGCTCGCTCCCTCACAAAAGCGCTCGCTCGAAGCCATGGTCTTCTTCGACCCATCACCACTATCTGCATACCTCCTGTTGCCTCTGCCAGTCCATCTTCCATTGCTACTGGGCTAAGCCGTTAACTTGAATTGACGTATCCGTAGTCAGCAGTGAGTCGTACGTTACGTCGTACATGAAAAACAGACCGGGTCCCAGTTTGAATAGAATATAGACATCCCAAAGGGCAATGCAATCGATCATACTCGCAAACAACACGATAAACCTACTGCGGTACGCCACACCCCATCTCCACGACGAGGACACTCATATCATCAAGATACTTGACCACACTTCTAAACCCACACAAGCAACGCTCTACCGCCATCACGCAGACTAAGTGTCAACCGAATCCCAAACGTTGAGAGAGTGCCCCCTGTTCGAAAGCGTTCAGCTGTGCAAAAGTGTACAATTCGTGACTACGTAGTCTCATTTTCCTTTCTGTCTTGTCTGTCGATAGCGAGCGCTGTATTTCGTGCTTTTTGAAAAGTCCAATTCGCTGTGTACAAAGGCGTCCCCCCAGTCGAATGAATGATGGCATTCAAACCTTGACCTTGCCAAGTCCAGCATTCTTCTTCACGACCGACTCAACAGACTTGAGTGGAGTCAAGCTGTACTTGTAAGGTGCCTTCTTGAAAGTACCCACTTGCGTGATGTTCACATCGGCTCTTCCGAAGTCGTTCTCTTTAAAGGTTGCAACGTCAGTATGCCTCTTACATCTTAACACACAAGGGTCAACTTACTAGCACCCAAGTTTGCAAAGCCATCAAGTTCCTCGTCTCCGCAGACACAAGTGTTTGGGGAGTCCTCTGGGATGACCAATCCGTAAGTCGACAAAGCAGTCCTGGTGTTGCCCTTGAACTTGTTTCCTTCGACCAAGACTTGGTTGTCCGAGCGGGAGTGGATGGCTTGGTACAGGAAATCCTCGTAGAGATTGTTGTAGATGTGTTGGTGTCCGAAACGTCCTGCAGGACCACGGGTACCGCAGTTGCGCCAGTAGTTGTGGTGGTAGGTAATGTGCAGGTGGCCTTCGTCAACTTCGCGAAGCACGTCAGAGTTGCCGACGAGAGATGACTTCCAGTGGTCTAGTGCCGAACATTAGCGATTTGATTGAAACTCTCACACTCATTGGAGTAAATACTTACCATGGAAGTAGTTGTGCGAAACAGTGATCCAGTCCGAGGCGCGGACGATGTCGAGCTGACCATCGTAGAAATCCGGGCCAAGCTCCAAGCTGATCTGGCTTTCGAACTCGTTGTGGTCGATCCAGACACGAGTAGTGTTCTGAATCGTGATTCCATCGTTGTCTTCCACAAAGCGAATGCCGATGTTTCGGACGATGACGTTGGTCGCATTGATGATAGTGATACCCTGGCCAACGATGTTGGCTCCCTTGCCCTTTCCAAGCAGACTGACGTTTGAGCCGACTCGGAGACGTGCAGTTGGACGGAACTCGCCCTCGAGGTAGATCGTCTTCTTGCTGTCTGTAGCTGCAAGAGCTGCCACGAGTGCAGCATCAGTCTTCACGTTGAAGACCTTGCCACCTGAGCCACCTGTTGTAGGACCGAGTGGATTGTCCCAACCAAAGCCCTCCAGTCCAGCAGGCTGTCGCACGCGATCTCTTTTGAACCATTCATTCCACGCTGGGCTCGCAGAAGCGCATGCAGCCAGCTGAGCAGCGGCGAAAAGAACGGAGAACTTCATGCTGGTGGTGTCGTAGCGGGTTGAAGCAATGGAACCAGTGAGCCGCACGAATTCTCTACGACGGCAGGACGGCAGGACGGCAATGCCTATATACCTCCATTTTCGTGCTGTCAAATCCAGTTTTCCCAATCGATAGTCTGTGCCTTCCTCATTCTGCTTGTGATGACCCACAATCAAATTCGTGATTTTGCATCTCGCAACCGAGCCGAGGGACGAAGGATGCTCAAAATGGGGGTCGGCACGGCCAGGCCGTCTTAACGTCGTTCTCCAAAGTCGACGGGACCAGCAGCAGTCTTGCTGTGCTGGTATTGCGGGCTGAGGACTCGGTGCAATGTGTACCCCCAGATTTCTCCGGATGTCTTGGCTGTGGAGGTCGAGCTCCTAGCTCGGGTGTATAGATTGTTCCTGCATGCGGTATGCGGGGTCAGATATTGGTGCAGAACTTGTTGCCAGGTGACCATGACAGGCCTGGATGCAAAATCCATTCTGCGGCGCGGGAATTAGTGTTGTGTTTGTTTTCGTCCTGTTCTCCACCGACAGGCTTTACGATGCGCACGAACATGACACAGCGAGGGGCCCAGTCATTGTCTTGGGCGGAATGGATACTAAACTTGCAGTCTTGCGCTTCCAGTCTGTGCGGACTTGAGACACGTTGACAAGACGTTGGACGGTGGGCTCAGCGAGTGTGCAAAGCGGTGTGTCTTCGGAACTTCGCAATTCCAGGTGGATTGAGATAAAGTGGAGTGGAAGTCTTTGTGTATGCAGGTCCAAGTCAAGAGCGACACAGCTTCATCGTCGTTGAGATCGTAGTCCCAGCACTGATCTGGATATATAGCTTTATACTCGAAAGAAGGTCGAAGTCTTGGGAAGTGGAAGCCTTAACGGTCGTCTCACAAGACCCAGAACTCAACTTCATCTAGAATCCCGACAATGCGGGAGTACAAAAAGTTCTCGCTGAGCACTTCGACGTCTCTGAGAAGAATGTCAGCGATACGATGAGTTGTATATTGACTCCATTCTTCTTGTTCTCCAGTTTGTTGCCGAAAAGCCTATTCTTCAAATGTTGTATTCGCGAGCGAACGATATCATCATCCTCATCTCCAGCGTCGTGCTCGGACTACAGCCAGGCGCTCACCTCGTTCGAAACGATTCATGTCCCACAATCCGTAGCGTACAGCGTCCGAAGTGATCAGGTCCCGTACCTGCAGAAAGCGCTGCTGGATATAGCACCAAGCCTTGGCTGCCCAGAGCTTGAAGCTCGACAGCACATGCCCAAATCTACAAGGCACGATACACAGATCGTGTTCGCTGCCAGAGACGCAGCAGAGACGCCTTTGCCACAGGAAGTCTTGATGCTGTCATCTGGCAGGGGCGCCAACGTTCGTATCCTGCACACAAGCACGCCGGTTCGATCAGATTCCGGCTGGTATGAGTGGACGAATGACACCGCCGCATCGCTCGGACTGCAAGAGATCAAGCTGCCGCATGCGATCTGTCAAGAAGACCTGGCGTCTATGTTGCGCGTGCATGCCTCACGTAAGTGCATCAGCCATCAAGCTCCCTACTCGACCGCTACTGACCATACTAGGTTCACGAGGACTGCAAGAACACAGGCGCGACACGCACCTCATTGATCGAATCGAGCGGCTCTTCGCGGACGTGGTTTTCGTCTTTAGGAGGAGCGCACGCGCCCTCAATAGCACGCCTGAGAACGTATGTTCGAAAGTGAAGGGTCTGGAGACACATGAGTACACGATTTGATGATTTCCGTTTGTATGCCATACCATGACTTATGCAGCCTGACGACTCAATGAACAAGCCAGGTGCTTGCCAACTGCTTTCTTGATGTGTTTTGCTTTCCGTCGCAGCTGATTCCGCGATCTCATCTCAAAGCGGGAGAACTCCAACCTGTGCTTGCTGCCCGTTGCCTGTCGCCCTAATGCTTGTGTGGGCATCTGCAGCTTCTTGCATTGCAGGAGCTGCTCTTAAGGTCGTGTGGCAGTGTGCGTCCTCCTTCCAAGCCGTGCTGCGAGCATGGCCATATATCCAGTTCCCTTCATTCTAAACCTCTTGTCGTCCCTCCTCTCAATGATTCCTAAAATTCTTCTTCTGGTAGAACAGATCCGTCCTCGAACTACCAAGGTTGATAATCTTTGGACACCCATCCCTGTCCTTCTCGAGTCGCGTGCACTCGAAGCAGTAGAAAGCGTCCGAGATGCCTTCGCCACCACAGACCACGCATTTGTTCTGATAGTTTCCGAAGGCGCATTCGTCGCAGATTCGGACTAACGTCGTAGGTCGTACGTAGGAGTCGCAGACAGGGCACTTCCCGTCGCACTTATCGCAGAGTCGGCCGATGGAGATGCCGGACGTCTTGCGGCACATGACGAGATCGCTGGACAATTTGTTAGCATCTGCCTTGGAAGAAGTGGTAGCAGCAGCGGTACTTACGGGTGATGGCGCGACATTTTGGCGAATTCTAGGCAGCGGATTCTTTGATTGCAACGGACTTGGTAGTCAAGAGTAGTTTGGTGGGAGGGCAGGTGAGTTGAGTGCAAGCGGACGTGGTCTGCGGTCTTCATGTGCAACAAGAATCTCGTGGAAGCGGGGCTGACTCAGCATCGTGAAGTCCCGTCGGTCCCACCTCACTCGTCCCACCTTCCGGGCATCTCGATACCAGGCGACCTCCAGACAATTCATATTCCTTCTCGAGTCTTACACAAGGTGGTCCAGACAAGGTGATGGGTGAGCCAATATTGCAGCACACGCGAGAGAATCAAGCAGACTTGCGACCTATAGGGCGAGTATCCTACAGTATCCCCCGACCAACGTCCAGTACAGGCTTGCGAGTCTTCGCAGTGATTGCACTTTATCAACCAGCACCGCTCCCAGTCCTGAGCAAAGGTCAAGCTTGACCAAGACATGCTCAATGCAGTGAGCCTTCTCATGACACAGATCAACTATCAGTCCGTTCGACTCCAAACGCGGACCTACCTCCTACCAAACATCAAGCTCACGTACGTACGTAGAAGTGACGATATCGAAGGATTGCACAAACGTGACAGACTTCCATGTTCACATCACCCGATCTCCACGTCTCCACGTCGCTCGCACATGTACTTCGCCTCAACTCGCAAAAGGACACGACGCTTCACGATAGCTAGAGAATGTCGCGGTCATAATGTCAGCAACGTGGCAAAGATCAAGTACGACTCGCGGTAACTCGCATTCAACTCCAATTTATCCCATGATTGCGAGATCGCCTCTCTGCATGACGACTGTTGTTGCCTGCCACGTTGGGGAGCGGCATCACGCGGCTTTCACATGCCGTTGATCATGAAGAAGGATGCTATTATGATGCTCTCATTCTGCAGTGATCCAGCTTGCTGGGAGAGGCAGCAGGGACAAAGGTACATATATAGTAGTGCAAATGTCTCACATCGTGTTCCAGAACATCAACATCATCTTCACACTTCTCAACAACAACACCCACCTCACAAACCAATAACAACAATCATGTCCACCACCTCCTCAACCAACCAGCACGGCCAAGGCGCCTCTCACGCCACCGACCCCCAGAACGCCAGCAGCGTCCCAGGCAAGGCCCAAGAAGCCGTATGTCCCTCAACTCTCCTCACATCCCCCTCACACCCTTTCGACCCAAGCTAACACACACCACAGGTCCCCGCATCAGTCGAGCACAAGCTCCCAGACGCCCTCCACGACACCAACAGCAACAAGGAGACAGGCAAAGTCTCCCACGCCACCGGGTCTTCAATCGTCCCACAGACTCTCCAAGAGGGCCTCCCAGAAAAGGTCGAGAAGGTTGTGCCAAACGCAATCCACGACACAAAGGGTGCCACTTTCAGCGATGGATCTGTTGGAAAGTAGACAACAAGCGGATCAGCGTAGTAGTGAGGATGGGCAGCGATAGAGCCATATTTGTACTATAACATTTCATCAATCAATGAATGAATGAACGACTTTGACTCCAACCCGAGTCTGAACCTTACTGCTTGCCGAACAATATCGTCTTCGTGGTATGGCTTGCTGGTCACTAGACATAGGTCAGTACGATCTGGGCGCGCAGTGCTCATGATAAGAGCCTGGCTGCCCAGTACTGCACAAGATCGAGACAGGCACAGGCAGTGGGGGGCTGAAGTCAGTAAGAGACAAGAGGCTGATAGCAAACAGAAGTGAATGAGGTCCTGCCAGTATTGTCATCCATACGATACAAACATAATTACGTAGCGTCCCAATTAGAGCCGTCGTCTTTCCTCTTTGCTCTGCATCGTCGAGAATGTCTGGTACGTGCTGGTTCGCTGTATGTATTTCGACAATCTTACATGTCGTCCCGTCTTTTAACCCTTGACTGGGTTTCTTCGTCAACAGCTGAGATGCAAATGTGTGCTTGCATAAGATGTAAAGTGGTTTGGTGCCGGTCCCACGGTGAAGCGCGCACCACCATTGCTGAAAAGAAAACATGCGTGAGCATACAAAGCCCCGCCTCTTTCTCTCTCCCAAAAACGCCTTCGCTATGTGCATTCCGTCGTCGTGTAAATCGGTGTGTAAGGAAATGTAATATCGTCATCGTCGCCGTTTCGAAGGCATGATCAAGCTCTACTCATCCTAGATTCAAAGCTAGGCCGCGGATCCGGGTTCACGACACCGAGTGGCCGACTGTAGTCTTGTTGATCTTGCATCGATATCCGGCTACCGTTCGCCTCTGCATTGGCGAAGAGAGCCGACGGGTTGAGACGTTGATCGTACACCATGGGCTTGGACATCCTCCTGCTGTTGTCGCTCCCGTGGCTACTACCCAAGGGGCTCGCAGGATTGACGCCTTCGCCGGCGCTTGGTCCGAACATCATCGAGTGTCGAACACTATTCTGGCCCGTGGCAGGTGTGACGTAGTACGAGTCGTCGTGTTCGCCCATGCTTGGTTGGGTCCGGGCTAGCAGTCCAGCTTTGCTCAGGACGCTGACATTCCGTCCCAAACGCTTTCCACCGGCCACTGCGGCGCCATCACCATCCTCGGTTGAATCTTGCTTCCGCCGTCTCCAGCAAAAGAAGAGTGCGGCACCCAAGATTGCAAAAGCGGCGAGAATGCCAATGACAATTCCAGCAATGGTCCCTGCTGACATGTTGTCACTCCTGTGCAACGGCTGCTGGCCATCATTGGACTCCGGCGCAGCCACAGGGGTGCTTGTAACGGTCTGTGTCACGACAGCACCCGAGATCGTGGTCATGATGACCTCTGTGACCGGTTCGAATGTCGATTCAGGGGTCTCCGAGGTGCGGGACGATGTCTGCGGCAAGAATATGTCAGTACGTGTCAAATGCTGCGGTCAGACATGTCAAGCTTCAGATCGGATCCGGTTCCCGCCGCAATGTTGTGCGTGAGATGAAATACGTCGCAAGCATACACTGGTCTGTTTACTCGTGCTGAGAGTAACAATTGAGACTGAGACTTCCGCGCTCGGCGTCACTGTTATACTCACATAACTCGTCTCTGGTTCTTGTGTTGGAGATGGTGCTGTCGTTGGTCGCTGCAGTGCCATCGGTCAATACAATCGCCGGAGTGGAGAGATGCGAGTGCGTAGGTGAATCATGGTGGGTTGGTGCATCAGTGTGCTTTGAAGACGTGACTTCCGGGGGGCCGAGATGATCATGGACGCTGCTCCAACGAGGCAAGATGGGCTTGCCATGGTCTCACATCTGACGAGAGGGATGGACAGGGAGTCCTTCCAAGGATCGGCTTGGAAGTGCTGTGCTCACATGCAATGGGGAGGAGAATACTGACCTGTCGTGGAGTCGTCGGTGACGGTCTGGACCCGCCTGCTGTGCTAGTCGGGCTTCTGTTGAGAGCGATGTAGCCATAGAGGCCACTATCTCTGTTGCCGCATTTCTCTGAGGGATATCCGGGACAGTCTTCGCCGCAATCGCTCACGGAGGTCGTGTCGCCGGGCGCGACATTGGTGCACCAACATGACTGCCACTGCACGACGGCGAATGCATATTCGGACGCGCATGAATCGCGACACGCTCCGTTGGACTGGTAGATATTGGTGACTAGGGGTGAGGTTAGTGTTGGGGCCTGGCCAAGGAAGACGCGTCGTGCGCCTTCCATCATCGTCCTGGTGGAAATAACTTACTTGCACTGAAGTCGGAGCCCGTATTGTCGCTCGAGCAATACTGCTGCACGAGACCACTCTGGGCTAGTACCGACACGCCCGAGAGGAGAAGGACTGCTCGGAAAGGGAGCATGTTGTGCATTTTCATGACCGTGAACGGCGGTGAAGTTCGGACTGCAGGGAACAGCAGTCCACGGGGCCGTGTAAGAATATCGCTGGTCTGGCTGCCGCCTTCTGGCTATAGTCGCGATGAGCTCATACAGATGATGTCCTTCAATGGCTCGAGTTCCGATGTTTCAACGAGGCTTGGCGACCAGGAGTTCGGCCACAGCGTGTTCGAGAGCGAGACGTCTTGCTGCAGGCGAGTCGATGTCGGCAGGAGGGTGAGGAGCGTCGTTCGGAGATGCGGTCGGCGGAGTATTAGGCAAGACGGGGTCTTGCAGGTGGAGTATCGAAGCGTGCTTGACCAGCAAGTCGTGCGGGTGGAGTAGCAGAAAGCGAAGGAGATCCGATCAAGAGGTCCTGGTGGGTGCCGCGAAACACGTCGTCGGTCGTCGTCGTGGGAGTGCGATGGGCGGTAGTGAGGACACACGCTCGCACCAAGGAAAGAACAGAGCGGAAGCAGTAGCGGTGGGGAAAAGCGAGCGTTGGGGTGGTGAAGAGAGAAATGTCGCAGGTGCTGGTCGAGCGACAGTCAGGCCAGTGCAGAGCAGAGCTGGGAGGAAGCAGCAGCAGCAGTGCGCGGCAGGCGGCAGAAGCGAGAGGAACAGCGCCCAGCGCGCAGATTGAGATGCAGCGCTAGCTCCAACTCTGCGGCCCACTCCGGCTCGATCGGAGGGCAGGCGCGCTGCTGGGCTTGGGCGGAGCGGCGACGACTCCTACCGCGGGGCGACGGCGGCGAGGTCTGTCGAGGTGTGTGCTGCACGTATGGCGAGAGAGTGGTGGTGCGTAGATGAGCAGTGAGCAGAATGCACTGATGAGAGACAGTCGAATGTTGGTAAGAACAGCGTCGAGGATGT